AGGTTGGAACATCATTCATGATGAGCACGGCGTGCCTCACTTGATGAATCCCGATGCGTCCTTGCGTGTCCCCATGCAGCCTTCTTGATTGCACTGTCCCTTTGACGCACTCCGGACTACGCTAAGGCAAGAGGCGAGTGGCTGGGCTGTTTTCGAACTGAACACGCCGCTGAGCTCACTTGACCTGTCAGAAGCTTCCTTTGTGCCGAGCCGTGTCCACAATATCATCACCATCAGATCATGCAGCAAAATCAACATCGATGAACTGTTTGGGAGAGCGCCGCCAGCCCGGCGAGACCATGTATCGGAAGATGCAGAGTCCGATGCAGGGTTACCAGACGTTCCGATAGGTGGAGTTGGCAACATAGCGGGACCCGATGACGAAATCCAGGAAGGAGATGAGCTTCCGGGGCAAGGGCGGAGGAAGTGATGCAGCCGGCCATGCGTGCACATGTGGTTGTGGAAGGGGTTGAGCTTCATGAGGGATGCACCTTGTCCACATTGCGAGCTTGCACGGCATTGGGCATCGGCAAGAGTGGAGGCAAGGCAACCGTCTTGCAGCGCATCCACAACTTCATGGACCGCCAGAGATTGCTCGAACGACATCAAGTCGAGGATGCAAGAGTCCAATTGCCCCGAGAGCAAGCACCCGTTTCTGAGCCTACACCTGAGGAAATGCGTCGCCACGCATTGTCGCTGCATCAAGTTCCAAGCCCGTGCTGACCGGCATGTCCAAGCAAGACCAGATGTTAGGGCGTGTAGCACATGTTCGTTTGACTTTGCCTTCACTGAATGTGAAACCGGTCGCCCCGGTGACAAGTTGATCTGCTTAATCCTCAAGGATTCACACACAGGTGCCACCTGCGCGATCCCTACACCAGCAAAGGGAGGAACCGTGGCGTTCAAGTTCATGGTTGCTGAAGTGTGTAAATTCTTGAATTTTTGTGGACATACGGAAATCGCCTTGAAATCAGACGGCGAACCGGCTTGTCTTGCTTTGCAGCAAGGGGTAAAAGAGTTGAGGTCGCGGATGAAACTTGAAACGCATCTTGAACAACTGGAGGCCGCTGACCACCAAGCAAACCCCAGCGAGCAAACCGTGGATCAGCTCAGGCAGCTTACGGGAACTGCTAAGCCAAGTTGAAGCCGAGACTGGCCAAAAGGTCAGCACGATGTCTCCACTCCATGCGTGGGCGTGGAAGCACGCGTGTTGGCTGCACATGCGCTACGGGCGCAGTGGATTTGCCAGTCCGTTTGAAGTGATAACAGGGCGCCCGTACAATGGCAAAGTTGTGGGGTTTGGAGAGGTTGTTTTCGCAAGGATTAAGAGTTCTATCAAGGGCAAAGCCAGATGGAGAAAGATGTTGTGGTTGGGAAGTTGGGGGCATGGGCAAGTAGGCCAGGCTAGAATGCAGAGAACCCCTGTTCGAGGAAGATGTTGCCTGAAAGACCACCACTTCCATATCCCGGTTATGCCTACCTGACAATGCACCGCTTGAAGAACTCATTCCTCCGCCAGCCATTATTGCATCAAGCACACCGGAACCTCCTACGCTTGTTCAAACATCGGCCGAGACACCGCTTCCCACGGCTGCCGAGCCTAGCACGCCCATGCTTGTTGATTCCGATGCACCACCACAACAGCAGGAGGCCAGTGGAGCTCGCGCTTCTAATGGTTTAGAAGGCGTTAGTGGTTCTAGTGAAGCGTTGGTCCTGGTTTGACACCAGAGGCGAGGCCATCAGGGGCAGGCGGGAATGAGCAGCCAGCACCCAAAAGGGCACAAATCCGGTTGCGCTTAGATGCAGTTCAAGTGGACAAAGACGGCAACGAACTACACAGTGTCGATGAACAGGAGATAGAACTCTTCGATGAGGCTGCTGAAGGTTTCATGGACTGTGAGGAGTCCGAGGCTTGGGACAACTACGACGATGACGCTGGTGCGTCACCGAGTGCAGAGATTCCCAGTTGCTTGATCAGACCCTTTTCCCAAACGGAGCCACAATGCAGTCCGGAGGAGTTGCAATACATCGACGACATCGCTGACAACTTTGAGCTGAGCAGACTGACCAACATGCACGTGCTGAGTAAAGTTCAGAGCAAGCTTGAAGATCACAGAGTTTTGTCGTCGAAGAGTGTGAGATCATGGCGGCGAAAGTGCTACCCCACGTGCACGAAGGTGGGAAACAGATGGTTCAAGCTCGACCGCATGCTACCCGGTCAACGTGACGGAAGCGTCACGTGGTTTGCAGATTTCACAGAGAAGATCAAGCGTGCAGTTGGAGCTGAGTTGCTACCGAGCAACCAGCACTGTTCAGACTGCCAGAGTCTGAAGGTGGCGGCATGGTGCATGCAGATGACATGATGTGCGCAGGACGCTCAGATAAACTTGAAAAGCTGGAGAATCACCTCAAAAGCAAGTTTAAAGTGTCATCGGAGTGGGGATTGGAAACGTCGGAGACTGCGTCAGTTTTCTTAAGAGAACACACCGCCTGGTAAGTGAAGACCTCTTGGTCATCGACCAAACGTGAAGTATGTGGAGAAGCTGATGCAGGTCACCGGCCTTGCCGCTGCAAAGGAAAGCCTACAGACCGCGTGCCCGATCCTGAGCTTGATGCCGCCAGTGCATCAAAGTATCGCACCGCGGTGGACATCAGGTACGTTGCTCAGACCTTCCCGCTTGCCAGTTTGGGATTCGTTTCCTGTCAACCTATGCCCACTGCCCAACAGAGGGATCCTGGAAGCTGCTGAGGCACCTGACCGCGTACATCAACAGCCACGAGAGTTATGTCGTGGGACTTGCCAAGCCGATTGTTGGAAAGGGTATCATTCGGGATTGTTCAGACAATTTGCATACCCCGTATGCTTCTCTGACGCCGACTGGTCTGGCAACCGCCAGACCAGAAAGTCAGTGAGCGCTGCTGTGGTGTTGTGGGACTCCATGACCATTTATAGCCACTCGAAGACTTAAAAGAACATCAGTCTTTCCTCGGCGGAATCAGAATATCACTCGATAATATCCGCCATAGCTGACAGCATCCTCTTGAAAGCGTGCATCACCTTCATTGCACCGCATCCACCTCTTGAGATCACTGCCTTCTGTGATAACAGTGCGGCCAGGACGCTTGCCTGCCGTCAGGGCGTCGGTCGCATGCGGCATGTCAGTGGAAAGCTGCTTTGGCTGAGCAGAAGACCAAGGAAGGAGAAGTGGTTGTTCGACCCGTGCCTACGGCGGACAACGTTTCAGACCTCGGTACTAAAGCGCTAAAGGCAGACCGTATCTTGTACTGTTGTCAAACTCAACATGCGTGATTCCGAATGTGGGTATCAACTTGGATGCCCAGAGCAGACGCCAGTTGTGCCGAGTTATCAAGCAAGGGAGTGTCAATCCTCAAAGAATACTACAGGTTCTTGCATTGGCGTTGCAAGTCGACGCCAAAGCAAGCGAGCAAGATGAGCCCAATGATGATCAAGACGCCTTGAGCCATGTGAGCACGAGCCTCTTGACTTGGAGAGGCAAGAGCGTGACTGTGGTATTCCTTGTCTGTGCCGACCTCATTGAGAACCACCCCATGTGTGCAATGTTGTTCGGACAGTTGATGATGCTTGGTTTTCTTGATCTGTGCAATGTGCTTTTGCCGGAGCCACCGAAGGTCTGAGCCCACAACCAGTGGGAATGCAACAATGCCAAAGGTTGAAGTCAACGTAGTGGTTGATAGGCCTGTGGGTGTAGGGGATAGGGATAAGCCTGAACCCGCCGAAATCCCTAACCCTGACCTGCCACAGCAAGAGAACGAAGGAGACGATGATCAGCCAGATCCGACAGCTGCATCGTCGTCTGCACCAGCAAATGCAGCACCGGTGAGTGCAAGCACGTCTTGGAATGAGGTTGAGGCGAATCTTAATGCTTGGTTGCGTGAGAATGCCCTGCCAATGCTCGAACAGTGCAACGCACCGCCTCGAACACCGGAACATCCGTCGGTGCGAGATCCAGCAGAGAATCATGTTGTGTTCGTGACTGCGAGTCGTGGATATGCATTCCACCGGACACGTGAATGCCCAAAGCTCAGATGTGCAAAGCGAATTCTGAGGTACAGCAAGCGTGAGGCCATCAGGCGAGGTTTCAAGCCCTGCAAGGAGTGTGGAGCATGATACAGTGCAACTTCTTTCCACTTGGAAATGTTCATGATGCTGCGCAGTGGTCGCATGTATATAGCTTTATGTACATAGCTTGTGATGCTCATGAAACTTCACTTGCTAATCCTCGTGGAACCTGGGGTTCAGCAATGCACACACATTCTTGCCCAATCCTGTTCATTTCCGACTTCGAATGAGATACTCCGAATGCCTTGATGTTTGGGAGTTGGTCACCCAAAATCTCGTGCGATGGCAGATAGGCCATCACAATCTCCACAGTGCAATGCCACGTGTGTCCACCTTGCTTGCCATTCCGACAGTGTGCAGCATGGTGAAGGTCTCCGCTTGGGCCAGTCAAGCATGCAGCACAGTAGGTGCTAGGTACAACGTAGTTGTAGCCTAAACCGAGCCAACGACCCATGGGCAGAGCTCGAAGATGCAAAGACATTCTGCAGTTGTTTCACGGGAGCATTTGAAACTAAGTGTCTTGTTGTTTCTCATACCTGGGCATCGGGAATCCTTTGAACCAAAACTCTTCGCCTAGCTTCACACTTTTGGAGGCGGGGTGTTAGGATTTTCCCGATTTACAGCATGCCCAGATATTATGTTTTGCAGTTGTTTTACCTGTTGCTCCCATATAGCATGTGACTTGAGTGATTCGAATCTGCAGGCGTCTTTACGGATTCAAAAGTTTTTCATCTTCGTATGACAGAGTCGCTGCAGGGTTCTTCCTGATGCTCGCGTACGGTCGTTTGCGGTTCAGTGACGGGCAGAGGATTACCAGCTTCCTGTTGGATCAACCAGACCCCAACAAGCCTGAGCTGGGATATCTGGCTTGTCCTGCGGATGAAGGCGGGGCTGTGCTATGGAGGGTCGGTGCCGGAGACTGAGCCGATTCTAAGGCGGTTGGGGAAGGAGGAGGCTGGACTCGAGATCCCCTTGACGTCTCGGCGGCTAGTGATTGGTTGAGGCAGCCGTTGAGGCACACTGCGCAGGCCGGTCCCATCAAGGTGGGTACTCACAGCGCCAAGGCAACTATGCTCAGTTGGGCAGTTGACAAACCTAAAGGAACCGCTCCCCCTCTGCCGGCGGCAGGTCTTGCCCAACCTTTGTACTCCCAGGGACGACGCATTGAGCCAGTTCCACGTGCCGGGCAACCTCTGCCCGTTCCTGTTGCGGCATCCAGCAGGAGCAATTGTGATTCCGATGCTGAAGAAGAATCAGCCAGACACTTTGCCAGGTTTCGGCAGTCCTTCACAGAATCCAACCAACAGCAGCAAAGTACTTCATCGTTTCTCTTGAAAGCTGCCCCGAAGCGAAAGCCAGCAAAGGCGGCCGATCCCCACCATCCCAAGTTCCAGCAGATTGCAGGTTTCTCCCAGATGGCCTTGTCACTGTTTTGGGGTGTGCTTGTTTTTATGGGTGATTGTAGTGGATTGTTCAAGCAGATTCAGTGCTCCGAATTTGCCAGTCATCACACCTCGCGAATTCTTTCCGGGTATGCCACGAACACGGTGCTCCGTTACCTGGCAGCTTGGTCACACTTTGTGGCGAATCTTGAAGGGCTAGGCCTCTGTTTTGGCAATCTTGATAGTGTTATGATGGCAGACATACTAGTCACCATGTCCCTTGAGAAGCATGGAGACCCTACTCTGGGTTCAAGCTGTTGCATGACAATCAAAGCACTTCGTTGGCTATGCAAAGTCGCAGAATGTACAATCTTATCGTGCGCGTATGAAAAAGTGATTGATTCTTTTCTGAAGTCAAAAATTCCTCGTGAACGCCGTGAGAGTTTCCCACTACCCACTTGGGTGCTCCAGCTGTGGGAAAGGCGCATCTTGATGAAGCAGGCATCATTCCTTGAAGTGGTTGTGCTTGGTGGTTTTTTGGTTGCTGCCTGGGGTTCATTGCGATTTGCAGATCTTCAACGTGTGGAGTGGAGTTCATTATCTTTTGACTTACATGTCCTTCGTGGTACGTGTTATGCGACCAAAACATGTCACACCGGGCAGCCCTGGGGCATCCTTGCGTCAGGTATTCTGTCTCGCGGGACGCATTCTTGGGTTAGCAAATACCTGCATGCCCTTGACAGGCTGGCTACAATGCATGTTCGAAACCACCCAGATTCGTGGCTTCCATCGTTCTTGCTTCCAGCAGTGCAAGGCGACAGCTTCATGTTGCCCCTGCAAGCTATGAGCTATGCTGAGGCGCTGAGGTGGTTGAGGCATTTTCTCCTCATGCCTTGGGCTCCGCACCACCAGAGGTACCGCCCCTCAATTTCACAGTGCATAGTCTCAAAGCCACTATGCTTTCCATGTCCCTTCAAGTCAATGTTGATGAGGTTGATAGGAAACGTCAAGGGCACCACCGCATAAGCAGCTCCGCTCTTTATTCCCGTGATGATGTTCATGGCATGCTTCGGTGCCAATCTTGCATTCGTGATAGCATCCGCACAGGCTTCCGATTTTTGGTCCCCCAGCACAGAGGAGGGCAGCAGCCCTTGACACCAGCGTACATCCCGCCGGAAGCTTTCTCTAAGGACTACGAGTTTGAACCCTTCCAGTGGTTCTCGTTTCAACTTGATGGCAGTGACGATTTGCTTCAAAGCAGTAATGGGAGTTGGGAGGTCGCAGAAAATCAAATAGTCACCCCTGATCCAGATATAGAGGCGCTGGACAAAGATCTCGTGTACCACTCCGACCCAGGATCTTCAGATGAGAGCGAGGAGGAACCTTCGGCACCCCCGGCCGAAGAGCACGACTTAGGTGAGCCTGAGGAATTCTTGCTGGGCTCCTGCACCGCGGTGTTGCATGTGCTCTGCCCTTCAGATGCTTTGTCAGGCACTCTTGTCAATGGGACATATATGCGTGCAAAGTGTGGTGCCACTCTTCCGGCCGATCGGCTCATGATCCACACGTCAGTGCCATCTTCGTGTCGGTTGTGCAGACGCAGTGCTTGCTTGGCAGCTTTATCTTGTTGTTCCGAGGAGTGAGCTGGAATGTTCGTGTCAGAAAAGTGTGGTTGTTGTTTTGCGTATGCATCAATGAAACAGCAGGCTGTCATGTTGCACATGTCCACCAAGGGTTAGATTGTTGCTATGATCTTGACATGCTTTTGGTGTTTCTGCAGGCAGGCGCTCGATTGGGCTAGCAAATCCCCAAGGAAAGATCTTTAGGAGTGTGGCGTCTTGCAAGAGTTTCACGTGGTATTCAGAAGACGCCCTGGAAGTTTCGTACATGTCAGATTCGTTGCTTAGCATGCTCATCTAGCTCACGAGAACAAAGCTCTGCCATCCTATCTAAGAATCACATATTGGTCTAGCGCTAAACACCAACATTAGCCCTGCGGTGTCTTGCATGTAATGGCTGATTCCGAGTTGGAGAGTGCACTGGCGAAGGAAGGCTTGGCAGCAGAGGTCATCAAAGTGGCCACGGAAGGGGGCTGGACAGCCTCGGCGTTCAAACACGTTGTTGAAACTCAGGCAGAAGTTGAGGGAGCCATCCCCGAGATCTTCCCAGGTCAGATTTTGTCTCGGTTGCAAATAGCCCAGATCAAAGCAGCGTGGGCGGGCATGCAAACATCCAGTTCCTCTAGTGCTCTGCCGGCCCCTGTCAACGCAGATCCTACTTTGGAGACATGGGTAGAGAGTTTTGCTCCCAAAATTGCATCCACGAAGCTGTCCGATATGAAGCGCCAATTCCTTGCAAATTACCCAAGTGAGGTCTTGAATCCATCTACTCTACCCTCTTTGAGGCTGATTTCCCTCGCAGCTCATCAAGAGGCACGTTCAGAGTATAAATGGATAGCTTGGAAACATCGCATGACGGAAGAGAAAGCTTCGGAGTTGTTAATTGCCAGACCCCAAAAACAGCCCAAGCTCGAAATGCTGGGTCTTTCCAGCTTGCTCCTTGATGATCCGCCTACAATCGAAGTGACCGATGCCAATATGGGGATCAGTGGCATCCAGCGAATCTTGGCAGTGCATGACGTTGCGTTGGCCATGGTTGGCTCAGCTCACCTTGCCCGCCTTAAAGCCTACAGCTGCAAGTTTATCCAGCTTGTGTCCCAGCGTTTCGACCCAACATCAGGCCTGCGTGCACCGACAATCCTAGAAGCGCAACAGGCAGATTGTCGGATTTGGCAGAGCATCCATTCTTTAGTCAGTGAGAAAGCTTGGAGCTTGAATGACGCGTTGCATGAGTTCACTGAAATCAGAGGTGAGCTTAGCACCTTGCTGCAGGCTCGTCCGAAAGCCTTGTTCATCCCCCGCGGCCCCGATCTCAAAGGCAAGGGGAAGCAGGTCGGCCAATGGAAAGGCCTCGGCAAGGGCCAAGGCCGGGGCAAGGAAAAGGGCGGTAAGCCCAAGGGCGCTCCAGGGAGACACATCACCTTCGTGAAAGAGATCCAAGTGGGATCTGAGAAGAAAGGGCTGTGTGTCCAGTGGCAGATTGGCCGCTGCACAAGGGGAGGCTCCTGCCCCTTTGTTCATGCATGTGCATACCCCAAGCAGGATGGATCAGCGTGTGGGAGCAAGTCGCACACAGCCTCTCAGCATGAACAGACGCCTCACTGATTCGAACCTACCCTTGTGCCGTGGCAAAGAATCCCGAATTCAGATTTGCAGTCTACAGAGGTATCACCCCCAGATGCCCCGCATCCTTTGCAATCTCACACTGAGCCAGTTCAGTCACACCCTTTGTCGCTTTGTATGTCAGTATCACCTCAACAGCCTCTTTCAGCAAAGCACCAGGCAGGTGCAAATCGTGTTGCTGGGTATGATATCCAGCCGGCAGCTCGGCCAGCCGAGCCTGTAAATGTGCTTCCGAAATCGGTCTCCTTGTTGGAGACAAATGCTGGGCCTGTGTCGTCGCCAGCAGCGCAATGTCCTCAGGGCAACATCCCTTCACAACCCGTGTTGGGTGATGTCACGTGCAACATGCCTGGTCGTTCCAGGAATGAGGTAACACCCGGGCAGGTGGGTGTTACACATGTTGCAGAAGAAGGTTCCTCATGCATACATGACTTTAAGTCCTGTCTTCAGGCATTACTTTCTGCCTCTTGGCCTCCACGCGTGCTTCCTGCCAGGAGCGTTACTTCAGCGGCTCCGGGGGAATCGGGATACTGGAACTTTGGGGTGCGCCTAGGGAATCCTTCGGCCCGTTCATCAGTTACGGATGCACTCCCACAACTGTGTGCAAGCCTTAATGGGTTCTTGTGCCAACTGTTCCCAGGTGAGACTTGGAATGCCTTGTGTGTCAGCAGGAACATTTTGACGTCCCCGCACAAGGACACAGCAAATTTGCCGGGGTCGTCAAATTTGACAGTGGGGATAGGTTCGTACTCGGACGGAGGCCTTTGGGTCGAGGACCAAGCAGGCACTGTACCGCAGTTCATCCCCAAGCTTGGGGTGACTCTCCCGGGCAAGATCGTCACAACGCATCATGCGCCGTTTAAGTTCCCCGTGCACCTTTGGCACTGCACCCAACCGTGGCTTGGCGATCGATGGGTGCTGACTGCCTTTACCCTCCCAGGCGTGTCAGGTGATACACTTAAGGGTTTGGGATTCCCTTGGCCCCAGCCACGAACCAAGCCCCCAGCCCCGGTTACTACACCCGAACCCTGCCCCCCTTCTCAGCAGGCAGTTCCTAGCTTGGAGGTTAATTGGGGAAAGCCTTCTCCAAAGGGGTTTGCTCACCACCGCTTGATCTTGCAGCCCCAAATACCTCGCCCACCACCATCCTCGCCTGCCATAGTTCAGTCAGCGCTACAGCAGTCTTCAAGGATCTTCCTGGACATTTGTTCGGGCGCAGAGAAGCCTTTATCTTCAGCGGTGCAGGAGTTAGGCTTCCCAACACTTGCAGTTGATATCCTGTTGGATAGCAGCATGGACATTCTCGATAATACCTTTTTCGAGCAGCTCTTGTTCATCTGTGGCTCAGGTGTTGTGGGGTATTGTGCGGCATCCCCTTGCTGTTCGGAATACTCCCGCCTGAAACTCTTTAAAGGTCCGCCCTTTGCCATCCGCACACCAACCCAGCTAGGGGGCCTGGAGAACCTATCCCCATCAGCCCAGGCTCGTATACAAACAAGTCACGAGATGCTTTTCAGGGCGCGCAAATGTCTTCAAATCGTCCATGGGGCCGGGGGCCATGGCCATTTGGAGCAACCTTCAGGTGCTATGTCCTGGGAAGAATCGTGCGTTCAAGGCTGGTTGCACTGTGGGTCTACAGCCCTCATTGTCCTCCCGGCCTGTGCTTTTGGGGAGAACTGGGCAAAAACTTGGCTGTTTGCATCGAGCTTTCAAGCCCTGTCCGTGATGGGGCAGACGTGTCAACACGGACGCAATGCACATGAGTCCGTGCAGGGACGTGAGAGTGATGGTTCGTTCAAAAGTCGTAAGACCGCTAAGTACCCCCAATGCCTGGCTGAAGAATTCGCGTTGCACATCAGGCCGCTTCTTGCAGGTGCACAGATTGAACACACTCTTGCCACCGCGTCAGCTTTAGTACCTGTCAAGGCCCTGGATGTTGGACCGTGGGTAATCCACGATGGGGCAGGTCGCCACTCTTGTGGGGATTGGAGCACCCCATTGTGCCAGGATAAGCTCAAAAATCTTCGGACATACCTTCTGGGGAAAGTTTGTGACATGCAGGGCCCCAAACGCCTGCTTGCTAAAGCCACTTGGCCCAATCCTGAACCCCTCTTCACCGCTTCGGAGGTGCAAGATGCGCGCAAAGACTTCTTCTCCTGCTTAGGTGTGGCAACAGATGCAAATACATGGAAGGTCCGTGAGCATCAACCCTTGCATCTGCATGCGCTTGAGGCACTTGCCTGTTTTTGTGGTGATCCAGATGTGAGTCTTTGCAAATCCCTGTTGCAAGGCGTCCCCACGGGGTACAACAACGATATCCCAGTGTCAAATTGTTTTTGGCCGAATCAAAAAGAGACCCTTGAGGATGTATCATTGTCCATCCACATGCAGAATTGGCGCTCGGCCTCAGTGGATTTGTCCGTGACCCAAGCCTTGCTGCAGGAGGAGTTAGATCAGGGTTTTTGCTTCAAGTTTGATGGCGACATTGAGGCAGCTAAGGCAAAGTGGCCGGGTACACTGGCAATAGGAAAGCTCTCCGTGGTCCGTGCGCCCAATCGTTCTGAGAGGTTGGTCCTAGATAATTCAGTGTGTGGCACGAATGCAAGTTGCAGTGTTCCAGAAGTCCAGCATATGCCATCAGTTAGGGACGTGATGCACTGTTTCCCCCTTCGGGGCACCCGCTCGCGGCAAGCTGCCATTTCTCTTGATGTCAAAAGTGCTCACAAAAGGTGTGTTGTCAAGGAGTCCGAGCAGGGTCTCCTAGGTTTCGCTTTCGCAGATTCTCTGTACTTCTATCGCGTGGCCCCATTCGGGGCGGTCTTTGCACAGCATTGGTGGGGGCGCTTAGGCTCCTGCCTGCTTAGGTTGTTGCACATCTTGATTTGGTTCAGCCATGCAGGCCACTTGTTTGTGGACGACTACTTATTCTCTCAGGCGGAAGCCGTCTTGCCAGCAACAGGGGCGATGATCTGCCTCTTCTTTCAAATTCTGGGGGTACCTTTGAGTTGGAAGAAACTTCAGGTTAGTTCTCGAGTTCAATGGATAGGGTGGTGTTTCTGTTACACCTCCGGGGTAGTGTCGCTTGCAGAGGAAAAAAGGTTAAAACTTTTGGGGATGGTTCAAGATCTTCAGCGTAATCCAAAAATTTCCCGTAAGGATTTGGAGAGGTTTGTCGGGCTGGCTCTTTGGGCGGCACACCTTTTCCCGACAATGAAGTCGCTTCTGTACACCTTCTATCATGATCTTTTCAGCCCGGCTGCTACCAACTACTCGGTGGCCCCAGATGTTTGGCCACAGCTTCGTCACCACTTGACGGATTCCCTGCAATTCAAATCGGTTCCTCCAGGTACAGCAATTCCGCTCCACAGCACACTTTTGTCAGTCCGACATCAGGATTTGTCATCTTTGGCTGACTTGGATCGCGTTCGCATTACAGACAGGCGGGTTTGGATGCGCGTCTCAAGTCAGTCCAGTTCGAAGAGAAAGTTGAGCACCGAATCAGTGCGCATTTTGGGTTTGTTCGAACATTGGCTTTTGCATATGTGCCCATTTTGCAGCATGCGCCCCTTAGGCAATGCATCCTTTGAGGCAAGAGCAGATGCAAGTGCACATGGCTCGATGTGCTGCATTGGTGGGTACGTTTCTCACCCCATGATAGGCCAGCGTTGGTTTCGAGAAAGCTTTTCCTACAGTGCCTTCCGGGCCCTTGAGATTCCAGTGCAAGCAGACATGCAGCTTGATATTGCTTGCTATGAAGCGCTCGCCCAGGGAGCGCTGATCTTGGCAACATCTTCTCTTTTACCTTGCGCCAGAATCCCCTTGCAGCTACGTTCCGCATCAGACAACACAGGTGCAGAGGCAGGTGTGAACGCTTCCTTCTCCACCGCTCGGCCTCTCTGTTTTTTCCTGGAAAGGATTTCTTTGCTGGCAGCTGTACATAGAACAACGCTGGATGTGTCACACATTTCCGGCGAACGCAATGTCAAGGCTGATGCCTTGTCTCGTCCTGCTGAATATGAAGTTCCCCCTGACTGCCTGGAAAAGGATAGAGTGCGGCTGTCACTCGAGGCCCTTTGGTTGCCTCGTCCAAACATTTCGGTTTTCCCCGAAGGGGCTCACCTTCCATGGTCTGTGCGGAGCAGGGGAGTGCCGAACAACCTCACTTAAGCTTGGGGTTTTCTCCGGGGCGAGGTTGCTGGGTAGTTTAATTTGGGGTAACTTGGTCCCACCCATCAACCTGTTGTGTGCATCGTTAGCTGTTTCCTCGAGTGGATGTTGGTGAGGATTTCCGGCACTCCAGAGAAATCAAAGCGTGGAGCGAAGCTCGTAGCCTTTTGAAGCCTCCGGCTATACCGCTAGCAAGCACAACTAGTTTATAGAACGTATCATGTACTTGTTCATGTATGTTTTATAAACTATGTTCGTGCGTCATTTTGGCTCTAGAGTGGTGCTTGCTAGCGAGAAAGTCAAGTTTCCTCACCCACCCACCCCAATTTTTGGGGTTCTCTGTCTCACGGGCACTGGCCAGAAGAACAATCAAGACCTCGTTACAAGAAAGTGGGCTCTCGGGGCGGGCCGTAGCACAGCACCTGTATTGCAGGTAGTCTCACTTGTATGCATCTCTTTTGGAGCAAGCCCATCTGGGCTTCTGGGTTCACACTTGCACAGTCATGTTTCTTGTATGGGCGGCTGAAAAAGCTGTCTGGTGTCAGTTTTCTCCGTACAGGCCATATCTTGCTTTGCAGTATGCTGCGAATGACCGGGGCAAAACTGTGTTAACCTTAGTGTTTTTCACCTACCTTTTCTCGTGTTGTCAAAGTGTTGCTTCGGTCCGTCATGGGTGGGGTAACTTGGTCCCACCCATCAACCTGTTGTGTGCATCGTTAGCTGTTTCCTCGAGTGGATGTTGGTGAGGATTTCCGGCACTCCAGAGAAATCAAAGCGTGGAGCGAAGCTCGTAGCCTTTTGAAGCCTCCGGCTATACCGCTAGCAAGCACAACTAGTTTATAGAACGGTAAGGATCCTGGGGTCAAGCAGCTGGCGTGCCTCCGCAGGTTGTTCGCGGAGGCGTACGCCATCATAGCAAGTGACATCAAGACTCAGGTGGAATCTTCAGACGATGTCCCTATCAAACGTTTGGCACCAGCCGACCGTGCTCAGAGGTTGGCCGATCAACAGACAAGGCTGGCCGGCCTCAACTTGAGGGGCCATTTGGAGCCAGGAGATGCCTGGTAGACAGATGTGCCCATATCTACAAGACAGACCGGCTGGCCTACGTTGAGTGGGCGGCCCGTGTATCCAGAGACCATGAGGTGTTGACTGCACCAAGAAAGACGGCATGCTGGTCCTTGATGCTCACGGCCAAGTCAAAATGTCGTCGAAGCAAGGTGCAGCTCCATGCGAGACTACCACAGAGCTCCAGGTGCGCTACTGCCTAATGGGCGTGGTCTGGCGCTTGAGCAAGCGAATATCTTCGATTATAAGCTGCACGACCAGTTGATCGAAAAGTACTCTGAATATCGATTGATGCCGACACCTCCTGGCTTTGCAACTGTCGGGATGGGGCAGATCGAGGCGGCAGACCGTCGGTTCTTCATGCTTATGGCAGAGAAGTTCCTTTCGATGATCCAGCAAGCCTTTGGCTGCTGCTGCCAAGGCTCCCCGTCCAAGAAGCGCCGCTTGGGCTCAAAGGGCCGAGGCAAGGGCAAGGGCAAGGGCCGCGGTGAGCGGTCTGCAGGAGGCATTGTTCCGGTCCAGCTGTTGCGCCTCGGCTGTGTTGCCAGTACCTTCCGTGGGAACCCCGTGTGCTTTTGAATTCTCGCTCAGAAATGCGAGCGCAAGGTCACGGAGAAACAAGTGTGAGCGCGGCTTGCATGTTTGCGCTGTTGCCAAATGCCATGGCAACCATCCGGCCACGGAATGTCCACGGGCATTCAAGGCGGATTGACTAGGGCACGGGAAGGAGGAGGCGGGTCATGTACGGCCGCAGCAACCGAGGAAAATGCCTTGGGGGATGTGCCACGCCGCCACGCAAGGGCGTGGCAGAGACGCCTGTGGGCGATCGCAAGTGTGCGAGTGAGCGACGCCTCTACAGTCGATTTCGTTCCAATGCTACAGAAGAATGCTTCGATTCCTTTTGCGAGAAGTTTACTTGACGACACCACTCTGAATCCATGCGCCCGCGTTTTGCAGTTGCTTGAGCAGGCGCCTGTACAAGAACCGCCCCGCGAAGGGGCCCAAGCAGGTGCGAAGAGTTTCCAAGTCGGTGTCTACAATCATGGAGGGGTTACGAGGCTTCGGGCCGCCACGCACAGATACCCTCATGCTTGTCGAATTTTGACCGACGCAGTTCGGATGGTGTGTGCTGACCGCGTCTTTTCCACGGTTGCCCTTCCCATGCTGACTCGCGCAACAGCCTGTCACTCTGTTTCAGGTCAGAACTGCGCTGTGTGGCGATTGCTGTGTTTCGATGTTTGGAGGGGTAAATTTTTGTGGAGAGAGGTTATGAGGGGTCCGCGCGCCGCCTGCATGGCCTCCCACAGTGCCTGCTCCGGCTCGTTCACCCGCAGCCACTGCAGGAAGCGGACCGTCCGCGGGCCGCTGTGCGCTGGACTGGCTTGAGGAAAGGTTCGGGCGGCTCCTGTTTCATTCTAAAAAAACTGCCGCCCTGTGAACGCGCCAGCTCCGTGAGCTTCGGTAAATTCCTATGCGTCGCGCTCACGCTGACTGGCGGCGTCGTAAAGCATGAACGTCCGCACCTAGAGGCACAGAAGTTCGACGGTTTTTTGCAGAGTTTCATCGCTGTGCCCGGCAAAAAACCGTTCCCAGCTCTGGGAGCTACTGCCCCAAAAAGTGCCTAAAATGTGCCAAAAACATAGCTGAGAGGATCGAAGCTTGGCAGCTAAAGTCCTAACCCTTTCAACGAAGCGAAACACAGCTGTCAACCCGCTTTGACCTGGGACAAGCAACTCTGCCGAAACAAACCAACCCACACAGCCAGGCTTCCTTGTTTGGTGCAAGCAGGCAAGCTTTGGTTCCATGGTTTCTGACTACATGTTGATGCCCATGCCCAGCTGGCTCTTGCTCAGCTGGCCCTGACCAAACCCGTTGTTGGGGCCCTTTGGATCGTGTTTTTCGCGGATGACCTCAGCTGCAGCCTTGATAAGTTCATTGGGTCCAAATCGCCAACGTTTTCCAGTGCGTCTAACCCGCTTGCAAAAATCCACGAGGTTCCGCTGGCCCAGACCCGTTCCGTGGAGCCAAGGCCTCCTGGACATCGCGTCACCTGCAGCCTCCAGCCAGATCACTTGCGGTGGGGGTTGTTAGGATTTTGTTTTTGCTAATCTGCCCTGGGCCTCTGAACTGCCTGCATGCCGAGCGTGGAGATCTCCGGCATCCGCAACTTGCCCAGAGCAGCACCCTTGAAAACAAGTGAGCGCGTGTGGAGAGAGGGGCCTAGGTGGTTCGGTTTCCCCTTTCTCACGCAAACAATTCGGTCAGTGTGTGTTGTCTGAACGCACTGGGCAATTTTATCGCAGGTGTTGTGACACACATAAATCATAACTGCGCGTGGATGACTAGATCCTTCCAAAGTGGGAGTTCGCTTGCCTGCATGCCCGGAGGATCTCTCGCATGGAGATCTCCCGGCATGCCGCCAACTCGCCCAGAGCAGCGCCCGTAACAACAAGTAAGCGCGTGTGGAGAGCATTGTGTCTCCTCGGCCTCTACCCTCAAGAGGTCCCGACCTCGTTCGATCTCCCTTCTTATACAACTGAGGTTAAGTCATGCAGTGTGTGTTGTCTGAACCGTCTTTATAAGACGCGTCTGGAGCGTCTGCTTGGGCAGTCTTGGGGATGTGCTTGTGCTTGGTGGTTGCTTTGCACGTCTTTCTTACACGCGGCTTTTGGAGCGACCGGCTTCACTAACACGAAGGCTTCTGGCAAAAGGTGAAGGGCTCTCCGTTGCCGCTCCAGGCGCGCGCGCGGAGCGCGCACTCGTTCTTATTTTTCTTTTAAAAAACTTCGCCGCTCCAGACGCCGCGCCCGGCACCCGAAACTGCGCTCTGATGCAGTTTGGCATTGTTGCGCCCTGGAAACTCCACCGGAAAATTAAATCTTTGATCCTCTCAGTTGTGTTATGGCGAGAGTTGGCACTTCCACCTCAGGGAGAGCTTCGAGAGTGGAAGAGCATGGAATTCATCCAAATTCCACTTCTGAGTTTTCAATTCAACCCCTCCGCGCTCATTATTAGAATCAGAGAGTAGAGTAGAGAGTAAGTATCCTGTCGTTCATCGTTTTTTGTTTCTTGTGTAAATTTTTTTAAAATTAGAGAAGTGGAGAATAAATCCAAATTCCACCCCCCCTCGTTTTTTATCTTTTTGTTTTTTTGTCAACATCATCGTTTTTGTTTTTGTGAATCATAGAAATTCCACGCTCTCGTTTCTTGGTTTTGTTTCTTGTGCTCATTTTTCAAAAATCATTGGAGAAGTAGAGAATTGTAGAAGGTAACGGGCAAAAGGAGTTGAGGTCAGGGCTCGAGTTAACCTCAACTTGGCTCCAGATCGGAGGTGACACAACTAAAAACAAAGACTTGCGTTGAGAGCACAGACATGGTCATTAATCCCATGCCGTCTCGCTGCCAAGCGGGGGTCTACCTTACATGGCGGGTTCGCCGGTGTTGGTGGTGGGGCTGGTTTTCCCGGGCAGGTGGCAGGCTCAGGTCTCTCCTTCCATTTCAGTCGAGGCCACAAGGGTGACTGCGGGATCTTAAAAGTGGTTGCACACTGCGCGCTAAGATGGAACCAAATAGAGTGGCCAATTGGGAGTTTTCTAGACATGCCAAGTGCCACGGAGCCCCGGGTAGGGGAAGGGAAAGGAGTTGAGGTTGGGTTAACAAACCCGAACCCAGGTAGAAGGTGGGGGTTACTCCAACTCTGACCCATTACGGTCAGGGTTCACCCAACCCCAACGCGAGTTGGGGTTCAGGCTGCCCTCACCTGTTACCTGGAATTGGGCTTTCTGTCAGCTTAAACCCCAAGTCAGGTTGGGGTTCGGTCGAATTCGAACCCGAAGCCTAACCTGAACCTGTTGAAGTTGCCTCCCTCCCCTTCCCGCCGCCTGGTGTCCGACCCGAGGTTGTAGCCTGAGTTGAACCTAACCCTCAACCCAGCCCGCGGGTTATGCTCGGGTGCTTCCTGTCTCTTGCTTGGGCAGTCGCAACGAATCGTTCAAAGCACATGGAACCCACAGGGTCACTCTTTTGTTGGATTTGCGTGACTTTCCAAGCATGTCGACCACCACCGACTCATTGAGGTTGGTCATCGACATGACTGATCCTCCGCCACGCCATGGCTCTGTGCAGCCATTGCATGTGCATCCAAGCCGAAGATTGTTTTTCGGCGCCGGTCAGACTGCCGTGTACAAAAACATATTTTTGCCGTGCCGTAACTTGCACTTTGGTTCTTTGCCGTTGCGTTGGAGGTGGGCGGCGTAGCCCAAGATAATGAGTTCTGCAATAAGCTTCTACGAGGTTCGCAGTTCCGTCACACTGGCTCCGGAGCTGGAGCTGTCGTGCTGTTATTGTCAGGGAGGAGCAGCTCAAGGGCCATCCCATTCCATTTTTGCTGGAAGCTGCATGGTCCGCAATATCTCCGTGCCTTGGGTCCATGTATGGGTCGGCACCGATTAGGTTTGGTTGCCAGTTCGCAAAAAAAGAAGGATTTGAGGGATTTTTGGGTATGTCGTTTTGCCCCTCATTTACTGGATGGAAGGGATATTCCCGTTTTCCACGTTAATGTTCTATTCTGAATCGAGCATGAAAGGTTCAGGGACGTCGGTTCTTAAGTTTGCATGGGCGTGAACCGTTCGGTATGCACTATTTTGACCGGCAGTTTTTGTAGCTCACGAGAAATTCTCCTTTTGCGATCTGTCTTGCCCACCACCATCCCCTTGCACCTGCCTTGGCGGTTGTGTGTGTGTGTGTGTGTGTGCGTGTGCTTGTTTCGGCCCTGTGTCCGATTGGGTTCAACTTGCCAATACACTGGAAGCCACTGCTTCGTCATCTTGTGTTGTCGATACTTTGTGCCCCGGGTCCATGGGTCGGCGCCGATTTGGTTTGCTCGCCTCGCAAAAGGCAAAAAAGAAGAATTTGAAGATATGTTCTGTTCTGAATCGAGCATGAAAGGCATAGGGACATCGGATGCCAAATGTGACTAGGATGATTTAGGGATCTATGATGTTTCCTGCGTCGTCTTGCCACTGGCCCAATGCTCCAAGAAAGCCCATGAAAGCAAAAATGGCTGTCCATTGCACTTTAATCGTTTGAGTACCAGCTGAGTCTCTTATTGAGGGGGAACCAGTTAAGAAGTGCAAATGGCAATCCGGCACTTTCGGCCTCTGTGGCCGTTCGATTGAAACTGACGATACTCTTTGGCCTGTTAAGCTTACTATCGGTTGCACTCTCATATAGTCACGGCCCTCATGATTGTCCAGCAGGCTTCGTTCCACCTTGATGGTTCCGCCTCTGGAAGAAAGTGAGCGTCTTGGTAGTGGTCGGCGATGCCCAGGTGATCTGGCTGGAGTTGTGTACGGTGCCAAATTACCAAAAAGCAAGAAAATCCCGCAAAGACACTATCCACAATCCCGTTTTGCAAGCTTGTGCGGCCATTAGTTCGCGTTATGAAGCTGAAGATTCGCCTTCGCTCTCCTCGACAGATTTCATGTTTGAAGGTTGATGATTTCTAGAGGTAGGAGCCAGAACGACGGGTTTGCGCCTGTGCCCTGAGCATCTCCGTGTGGTGCCGCTTGCCAGCACCTAATCGGCCACTGCCCGATGCGCAACCGCCTTCACGCAGCTCTGCACCTGCCATACCTGCCAGAAGGGCACTCAGCAAGACCCGAAGCACTCTTTGCTTGTAGGCTTGTTCCCGCTTTGCCCTCAGAAGCAGGGGCTCCGTCGGTTTTCACCGCCCTCACACGTAGCGGTAGGCATTTCTGAAGACGTTAGCATAATAGCGATGTCTGAAGTACACCTTTTGTTGCCAAAGCTTCACAAGCAACACCGCAATGAACATCAACTCACCCAGACCTTTTCGTACCAGATCCGGTGCGTGGATACAACACGCAGATTCCGGCTTCGTTTTCCTTCCGCCAGGCCAGAACGAAAGTTCGCGCGTAGGGTTCCGCGATGTTTCCACTCGACGGTGCGCATTATTCTGGCTTGAAAGAACCAACGTTTTGGCCCGGAATAATTGACTAGCTCGACCACAATTGTTTAGCATGTTTTTTGCAGTATCATCAGTTTTTGTTGTTCGGTAGTTGCTGTTCGAGGAAACGCTTGAAAGCATGTCCATTGCGATGTTATGGAAAGTTTGCCCCTTGGACCGGTGGCGTGTGTCTTGACAGAAGCATATGAGAGCAGTTGCCTTGGAACGATCTAGACTGAGATGGGCCTTGGTAAGATTTTGTTTGTTGACGACGACGGGTGATGAGAGCAAGGCAACATGTTGCCGTCAAGACAGCAATTTGGAACGAACGCCGCACGCAATTCTAGGAACTGAGTACAGCAACAGCACGTCTGGCCTCAGGGCCCGAACCATACAATTTTGGCAGTCCTTGAGACTTTCTACCTCAATCCCTCCAAGCTCCAAGCCCCGTACCCGCCAAAACCGGTTTTCAACACTCGAAGCCCCGGACGCTAATCTCGAACCTGCGATGGGAGTGCCTGTAACGGTAAGAGCGAGATGGCAAGGCCTGGATGTTGTTGCTTGGAGGTTAAGAAAAGGGTTTAGGAACTAAGGCAGTGGGTTTAGAAGTTCAAGGGCCTACTATGTAATCGGGGATTGAGGACTTGTGGGATTTCGGCTTTGCGGTTGGAGGGTTTACCTTTGAGAGAGGATTGTTACGCAGGAAATTGTCGCTTGCGTTACGCAGACCACGTGAACACTACATGCTCCTGAAACCATGAACAGTAGCTTGGTTGATCGGGTGTGGTTTTTGCGTGAAAAACTCAATGTGTGCCTAGGCTTCTAGATTGTAGATTTGAAAGGGGAAGGCTTTGATATTCGCGCAGGTGGAAGTCTTGGCCTTTGATAGTAGAACTTGACGCGGGCCGAGGGGGATTGGGCGGCGGAGACCTTACGCTGTGCAGTTCAAAGTGTTAGGGTTTAAGAGTCATTCGCGTTGTTCGGTCCTCCAAAGGTTTGTAGGTTATGGAACACAATGTAATGTATGGAATGTTGGATCAGGGTACTTCGCGGTGCTCATCAGGCCAAGCGTTTTCAGTGCGAGAAAAAGCAATAGCAGAAATCCACTTACATGCCCTGCATTCGAAAGTTGCGTGCAAGCCCCAAACGAAAACAGAGTTTTCTACATAATAGGTTTGCTATAGTTTTGGCATGTTGATGCCAGTGGGCCCTTCCTACTTCGGTTATGGGTTTAAGTTTCGGGGTTCAGGGCTCATGGGTGTGTACCCTTAGACACCCATGGACCTGAAAACAGTCGTCAGGAGTGGATGGTTCAGCCCGCAGCACGACAGCCTAGGGCTTAATTCCAAAATCCCATTTCGAAAGCTTCTGTCGGCCTTTAGAACTATCAAGCTGCAGGGTTTAGGGTTGAGGGTTTAGGGTTGAGGGTTTAGGGTTTAGGGTTTAGGGTTTGATCGATGTCATGTTTGAAGGTAGGTTCCTCAACGACTTATGACTTGTTGTCAGCTTGTCGTATGCAACTGTGACGATGTGGCTGATTGCTTTGGGCTGTCCACCCGATGTTGCCATCCCCTGTGCCGGAGCCGGGAGCCTGTGGCGGGGCTGTGCAACCATCGTGGCGGCGCGTAGACATCGCTGGGTGCAGCTTGCCCCACAACGGCTGTGTTTTGTGTGTTCTCAATGCAATGCCCTCGCAATCTCTAGGTCGGTTTCAGCTTATGGCTCAATGACAACCTTTCAGCTTGCATTTTCTATGATCGTTGGGAGGGATCTCTTGGAGTGAGAGCAGGGTTTGGGTGTTGGGGCTGTGACAGTCTCAAGGAAGCATTGGGCTCGAAAATAAGATTCAGAGTTCCGGAGCTAAGCCTTGGACCCGGATCTTTGATCCTAAAGCTGACGCCTGTCGCGGTTTGGGGGGTTAGGCTTCTTGCTTCGCCAGTTTCCGAATTTCGTCATGCGGGTGTTTGAAGCACCACAAAGTTCCCAACATGTCTAGGTTCCAAGCCCCACACGTCTACCTGAATCCCGAGATTCGAAGCTTCGAGCAGGTTCCACACTCAATTCTAGAATCTCCACCTTGGTTGAGCCATCTTCTTGACATAGGCACAGCCGCCTTGATGGGCTTCCCCTCACTTTGGCTTCTGCGTTCGGCGGCTTCCTGGCTCCAGCACTGTGCGCTCTGAAGCTGACCCTTTGCTGCCTTTGCTTGGACCTCGGTTTGAGTTCTTGCGGTTTGGAGTTCGAGGTTCATGGCCTTTCTTGAGGTTGGGGCTTATGGGGTGCTTTGGGGTTTGGAGGCTGAGGGTTCTTTCGGCCAATTGTGTCCAGTACTTGCACTGACGGTCTTGGGAATCTCAGGAGCACATCGTGGAAGCGGAGCCAGAAGCGCGTTTTTCGGGGAACTTCCTTCAGCGAATTCAGCTTCGAGGACCAAACATAGAGGTTCATGGGCAGTTACACGTACGATTTTTAAAGTATGGTATCTATAGTTAAAACCCTTTGAGGGTCCGCATAACCCCTCTAATTAAAGTATCCGTGAACCTCCGACTAGTCCGTCAGTCTGACTAAACCATGACTAAACCCAGAATTCGCAAGACCCTGTGAGGAGAGCCGGGAGATGGAGCTGGGCAGTTGGCGTGGTTCCGAGGAGAGCAGCATGGTTCGGAGGCTTGGGATGCCGAGCCCGAGACCCTATACAAAGCAATAAGTCTTGTGAAAATGTGCCTCTACAATGTCACTACGACTGTATCTCTTCCCACCTGGCCATCCCAATCACTTACCTTGGTTTGCACAGGCCTGGAATGTGCACGAGAAGCCCCGTTTACCGTGTGCGTTCCTTCTTGCCACGGACAGATGTCGAAACCCTTTGCGATTTCCTGGCCGGAGCGGACGACTATGACATCGACTCTGACTCGGTGGATGCACAGCCCACCTTTGAGTTTCGTGGAGTTTTGCTTAGGGGAATGAACAGCAGGCATGTGTCTAAGGGTAGTTGCATGGTGCCGTAACGTGGCCCCTTAGCTTCTTCAAAGGGTTCTGAAGCATGGGCCCTTGGGTTTTATAGGTATATAAGGGGTATGTAAGGGTTCCCCAGTTAAGGGGCCGTATGAAGGACCATGCAACTACCCTCAGAATGCGTGTTAGTTGGGGTTGTCTAGATCCTTGCTTAAGCAACGTCCAAGGTTTTATCCCTTCCAGAAGGGCCAGTGGTGCAACGATGCTTTGCGGACATTGCTTGCGGACTTTGTTGAGAACAGGCTGCTGCCGTATGTGCGGCAGCGGTATGGTTTGGAGACCATTGCACTTTCAGAAATCCTGGTCCGCAGATATCTCCCCAAGGAGAGGCGCACGCATGCGGCGCACTACGATGGCCACGCTTTCGCCACGGCGGTGCTGGGCCTCACGGAGCCTTCGGAATACCAAGGAGGCCTCTACCTGCAGCCTGGGCCCCATGTCTCCACCCGGAGAATTGTTCGCCTGGATCCAGGAGATCTCTTTGTGCACTCTTTCAACCTGCAACACGGTGTGGAGGTGGCTCAAGGCAGCCGCTATAGCTTGATCTTCTGGCTCAAGGATCCAGGGCTCAAGAGGTGCCACAGAGCCGGTTTTACCAGTCGCTAGACTTGACCAAGCATGGCATCATGGCATCACACACCCTCGTTCACCCCAGGACTCCCCGATGGCGGTGGCAGAGGGCACCACCCCGTGGTATGCCGCGGGAGCCTTTGGAGCCTTTGGAGCCCAGGATGCCGACGCATTGTACAACCTTGGGGTGCAGCACCAGCTGGGCCTACATGGGAAGGAGTGTGCCGCGTGGGGTTGGACAATAGCCACTTTCAGGAGGCAGCTGTATCTTTGCAGAAGACATGGCCTTGTGAATCAGTCGGCACATGATGAAATTCAGCAACTTGCTCCCGCAGGATGTGGACCCGGCAAAGGCCCTCGAAGCCTACCTGTGCAGTGCTGAGCTTGGCCACCACTTCTCCCAGAACAACCTGGCTCTCCTTTACCAAGAGTATCCGGCAGCTGGACTCAGAAGACTCCCAAAACACCCCCTCCAGGCAGTCTTTCGGTCCGGTCGCCTTCAGAAAATCAGATACCCGGTATACCCTGCACATCCCTGCACATGGACCCCACAGATGCCTTGGAGAGCTTGCAGTTTCAGCCAACACACGATGCGACCTGCAAGCCCCCCAAAAAAAGCTTGGAATCTCAAACCCTGTTCGAGCTCATTGAAAGCGAGAAGCAGGAAACCTCGGTGTGGGCCCAGGAGCTGGCCTCCGAAGGCTGCGGGACTGCGATGACCTGGATGCGCCGCGCCGCTGAGTCGGGGCCGCTTGGACTCCAAGTTTGCTCCGAGTTTGCTCCTTCAGCATGTTTCAGCATGTTTCAGCATGTTGCACGATGGTTTCAGGATGCTTTGGGGTCTCGGGTCTTTTCGGATTTAGTAAGTTTGGTAGGTACTGGGCTTTCTGACTCCTCGGGTTGATGGACAGTACCTTTTGGAGTTCCTTAGAAACCCTAAAATTGGCCAGGATTCATCCTCTGGTGCTTTTGCCCAAGCTGATGTTCATTGAAGTTGGTTTCTGTCTTTGCTGTCAGGTTCGCTGTGGCACAGAAGAATCTGGGCACGATGCTAATGGATCTAGAGGAGCGTAGTGTCAGGGCCTTGCTTCGGGTTGCTTCGGGCTTCGGGCTTCCGGGCTTCGGGCTTCGGGCTGCTTCTTCGGGCTGCTTCGGGCTGCGCAAAACATATCCTGACTTATCTGGGTCGGAGAAGCATCTGGATATTCCGGCCATTGGTTTCCCCTGTCTCTTGGTCCAAAACATTCCAAAACCTTGATCGTGCACCCCTAAATGGGACCAAACCCCTAATCCCTACGTCTCCGGCGCTGCCCTGCTAGGAGGGAAATTCAGTGGTTGCCGCGGAGTCACACCAGCGCCTTGCCTAAAACAACAATCTCCGAGGCGGTTTCGGGGTGTGGCTGTGACACACCTTGAGCCCCTACGCACTGCAAAGGTGGCTGCGGCGAGCAGCGGCGCAGCGTGAGCCTGAGGCGGCATTCTTCCTGGGGGCCACTCTGTCGCAGTGCGGGTTGACCGGGTTGATTGGGTTGACTGGACTCCTGAGAATCCTTGAGCTGACCCCAGACACCAAGTCCCTCCATGTAAGAGTTATTCTCCCAAACTTCTATCAAGAGCTCTGGCCTGGAACAAGCCGACAAATGTTTGCAGGACTTTCCCTTGCACCCCTCCACCTTGAATCCGAAGTCTTACAGAAACCTAAGCCCTAATCGCATCCGCACGGCCTAGGAAATTTACCGCCAAGGGCTCGGTGCCTCAGATGTAACGAACGGCCTCGGCATTGGGATGTAATCTTTGCACTCTTGCGCTGCGAGCGTCCAGTGTTTCTAGATGTTTCTAGATGTTTCTAGTGTTTCTGGAGCCTCTTGTAAGCATGGTGTGCAGATGCGTGCAGATGTGTGCAGGCCCAAGCACCCTCACAACGGGTGACTTTCGGGGTAGTCGCCGGTACATGACACTGAGAGATAGCGTTGGCAGGCACCATCGCTGAATTACAGAAGTGTGTCAGTGCTCGGAGTTACACGGTGGTGCTGGTAGTGGAATGATGTCACAGACTCGCTTCTTTTCACCTTCGTCAGCAGTTCAGGACTTTAGAATTCAAGGTTCGGTTTGAATTTGCCCCAAAGTGCCAGACTCTAGAACCCAACCTCACCGGAGGCCTTCAACTTCAACCAGAAACTCCTGATAAACTCAAAATGAGCTCCGGTTAAACTCCGATCCCAAAGCCTGGTGAGGCGTACCCCCGGACCGATCTGAAGCGGAGAGCTGGTATCGGGACACTGTGCTAATGCCTGGGCTGTGGTAGCTGTTTGTGGGAGTCACGGATTTGACTTTGGGGACTTGAGGTTCGGCCTTAAGGTCTTTTTAGCCAACACGTAGAAGTGATTCCAAGTACTTGGTGCGTGACAGGAAGACCGCTGTGGTTAGGTTGAGTGCTTGACATCACGGTGAAAGAGCTTGTTTTGCACTGGGGTTTCACGGACTACTTACAGACTTACGTAGTACTTCGTCACGAAAGCAGTTCATGCGGAATCTCAGCACTTCTCACGGCACTGCGAGAAAGCCATGGGAAACCATGAATGCCCTTTGCAGTGGCAGGGGAGAAACTGGAGGCAGCTAGAGATTTTGGAAAGTGTATTATTGAACACTGCTAATTTGAGCATGCTCAAAAGCATGAACGCTTGTGACGGCGCATTTTGTCAGAAACATCAAACATCCTTGTGCCGCATGCTGTAGAATGAGGCAAACGTGTGGAAATGTCGGTGTATTAGGCATGTTCGCAAAAGGCATGAATGCTTTTGATTGCGTGTGTCCCCGAAACATCAAACATCCTTGTGCCGTATGCTGTATAAAAGCATTGTAAGCAGTCGATACCGGTGTTTGGGGCATGTTCGCAAAAGGCATGAATGCTTGTGATCGAAACGTCAACCAGCGTATGCCTGCAAATATCTTCCGAAACGTGAAGAATCCTTGTGCCATGTGCTGTAGGCAAAAGTTCTGTATGTCCCAATGTTTTGGGCATGTCCGCAAAAGCCATGAAGGCTTGTGATTTCGCATTTGCTCGCAACGTGAAACATCCTTGTGCTGTAGTGTGTGATCTAGGAAGTGGGCAAAAGTTCTATAAAACTCCGGTGATTGCGCTGTGTCCCCGAACCGTCGAATGCCAGCGTTTTGTGCATATGTTCACAAAAGGCATGAACGCTTGTGAATGGTTTTCGAACCCTTCCTTGAAACCTGAGGCGAGTGCGGAGCTGGGATGCCCCCGGGCATTCACAGAGCTGGGCACCTGGGCGTCAGAGTTCAAGGTCTTCAAGGTTTAGGGTTTCGGGTTTGTTACAAATCGATCCCACGTCAGAATGCACAACTGCGGGTTCTCTTCGTCTCTGCAGTTAGTTTTGGTATAAGTTTAGTCAAAAGCTTGACCAAGGGAGACTCACTGGGGTCAGGGTCGTGGAGGGTTCTGCTGTATAGGATGCTCGATTGCAGCACGCCCTAACTGTTTTCAATTTGGCAGCACTATTATTGAAGGATGGCCTGCGCCTTTCCCACACCGTTCGAACCCTTCACTTCATTCTTGCCGAGCTGGCCCAGCCCTCCTATACTTTAGGAAGCCCTACCTGACCGCGTCCTGCTTAAAGTGTTAATTCCTGAAAACCTAAAACCATTCAAAAACCTAGGCATGCTGGACTATGAGAGTGGCTGCTTCGCCGATGCTGAGCGTCAGTTTGAGGCGGCAGTGCATGGCGGCGACGTGGAGGCCCTCAAAGGAAAACGGAATGGGCTGTAGCAGCGTCGGTTGGGGTCCTCGAGTTTTTTGGGGGCCAGATTCCTAACACAACCTGCTCGCAGAAGTCTTGTACTCCATTTCGGTTTTCCGACAGTTTTGAGGCCTGGGGATATCTGGCAACAGTGCGCCGCCTTGCTTGAATATGGCCTCAAGGTCCTGCCGGTCCTTGACATGCAACTTTTTGTGGGATTCACCAGGAGCTGAGAGTATTTAGGTGTGAGGAAAGGAAACTGTGCCCGGCCCCTATCGGAAGCACCCTGCCACATACATGGTTTAGGGCTTGGGAATCCCAGGCTGGACAAACTGAGTAGCTTTGGACACTCTGCTTGCGCCTCGTAAAAGCCGCCAGCTTCAGGGGGAAAGAGCAGCAGAGCAAGCAGACGGGCAGCAGGCAGGACGAGTTGGGACTCTTCTAAGAAAACCCTGGCGTTTTTTGCAACGGGGGTGGGGGGGGGGGGCGGGGCGGCGGGGTGGGGGGGGGGGTGGGGTTGAGGGCTGGTGGGCGGGGGTGGGACAAAGATCGGACAAATCTACATCTCATTTCTACAATTCTGCAAAATTGCAAGATCTCAGTGTCTTTTAGCCTTCAGAGCCTTGGAAATTCTCCACAGGTTGACCTCACAATCCTACCTGCAGCATTCCACTCTCAGGGTTACAAGTGTGCAGTATGTATAGTATTTGAGACGGGCTTGGCGGTTCTCAACAATTCTGGCAATCCAAGCCCTGAACCCACTGAAACTCAAGCCCTAAGCCGGCCCTCACCGTCCCAAGGGATGTGCTTGGGCAAATGCAGCAGCGCTGTGGCGATTTGGAAGCATCTGGCCGCGCATGGGGATGCCGAGGCTTCTGCGTTTCTTTAGTTCTCTTTCGTCATTCATCAATGCGAGAGAAATCAGATACATAAGATTCATTCCTTTTCGAGTGGGCCTTTGAAGGTGCAAATCCTCATGACTCATGTTTTGACAGTCCGGTGGCATGCATCCAGGCTGTTTGCATGTTGCATCATGCATATTGCGCCAGTCCTCAGCGGAGACTTTCAAGTATCTGTCGTGAACATCTTACAATGTCGGACGTCAGGTTTCTTGATGTTTGTAGAACGTTTTTACTGGTTCCTGATGCTTCAGAATGCCAGGCCCAGTTTCACCTCGGGACTTGTTTTTTACGCGGCAGCGGTGTCGGCTGCACGGCTGAAGGGTTGAGGGCAAGAGAGTTTTTAGCGGTTCCCCAATTCTAAGCTTGAGGTTCGCAAAGCTCCATCTGCAGCTGGGGAGTCTGAAGCTTCTTCCTGTTTACGGCTTTTCAAAGGAACTGTGTTGCACCCTGCGGTGGGCCTCAACTTAGGGGTGAATTCCTCAGGAATGGACAAGCAGAAGGCGCTGCAACACCTGGAGACCTCGTGTGCAGCTGGCAATGAGAGGGCGAAAGCGCTGCTGCGGGAGCTCGAGGGAGATCGAAAACAGAATGGTTTGGTCAGTGCTTGGTCTTGAGGCTTAGGTGAGTCTTGATCTTGAACCTGCAGCCCGCAGAAAGCCGCCTTCCTTGGCTGACTGCAAAGGCTGTGTGCAACAAAAAGCTTTCACTAAAACAGAATTGAATTTCTGGGGGCTTCTTCGAGCAACTATGCGCCTGGGGTTGGGGGACGGGGGACGGGGGTGCGGGTGCACATGCCGATTTTGTTGGGGCAGGGTCGGCCAACATGAAACGAGAAGTAAAGGGGAAGGGCTCGGAGGGATGGAAGGCACAGCCACGCTTTCGTAGCTTGAAAGGGGGCCCGCTTTCAAATCTCCAGTGTCAGAACGTCTGCCCAGTGTGTCTTTCTGCAAATGTGTGTTGCGTACCGAATGAATCTCCTAGACCTGTCTCTGTACTTTGATGCCAACATGTAGCAACATGTGGGGTAGGGTTTGTAGCCGGGCTGAGCAGGTCGGACAACAAAGTCGGCATCGCCCAGGCTTGGGGCGAAGGATGTGCACTCAGGCGACTAATACAGGCGATGTTGGTAAGCTCCGACAACCCTTGCTAATGCAGCTCCTTCGCATCCATAACTCCGGCTTGAGGCACATCAGGACTGGCTTGGGGGGTTGTAGGGTTGTCATATTCAGGAGGTGACTTGGCCGCTAGTTTTTGGTATCCCTCGGTCCGAATTGTGGAGTGGAAGAAGTCATGATGTCATGTTTGCAAACCATGCGCCTCAAAGCAGGATTTTGCTCATGAAACCGTGGCTGTTTTTGATGCTTGAGGTAAGTTTGCCTCAGCCCCAACTTCCTCTATACCAATACCAAGCTGTTAACCCAAATATTCTACACTCGACGTAGCCGGCAATGACACAATCCAAAAGGATGGAAACCACCTAATATTGAAGTTGAAATTTGAACGCAACAACAAGATGGTGCTTTTTAATATTTTAGTATTATTGATCCATGCCTTTTGGTTATTCGTTTTTTAGAGTATTTGTTGTTGTTTGTTAAATGGAGAGAGAATTATTGAACTTCTTTCACAATCGAAACTCAATCAAACTTGCCATGTGCTGGAGGCTGCACAGGAACTGTCAGACGAGCTCTCCGAAATAGAGTCGGCTATTGACGAGGCCGGAAATGCTGCGGCTTCCTCAATCTTTGAAGGGCTTTAGCGGCTTTAGCGGTTTCGGTCTCGGCCTTGCGGGATGGATTTTTTTTTACGCTCGAACCGACAAATGCTAAGCAAATTCTTGTGCATGGCTTTTGACCTTGCCAATACTGTAGCCCCTGGAGGATGCAACAATTCTCCCTCTTGCAGTTCGGGAGTGGCCACACACACATATTGGCTTGACACAGCTTGATACTGGAAACAACGTGCTGCATGCATGCATCAAGTGAGACGAATAATCTTGTGCCAGCATGGCACCAGTGAACCAAATGAGATGATGCCAACAAGGGGTGTGGGCGCAGCCCCAGATGCACCAGAGACACTAGGTCACTAGGAATGGTGAAACACGAATGGTATGGAAGGTGAACGATATGAGGTCCCCCAAAATTGCCCGACGGAGCCAATGACGGAACGAAACGCAGGCACGCTTTCCCCAAACGACATCCTTTGTTCGCGCCTCGGACAGCTACTGCTGGACGGACCAAAGCGGAGGTCGTCATGCAAGGGAGACACCGGCTGCCCAGTGCACGAAAATTGGACAACGGGACAGAGATAACGGATTCGAACAGGGAAGGAGCAAGGAATGAAACAATGACTTTAAAATCATCACGGGGCCAACAGAAATGCACGTCACAAGCCCCACCAGAAGACGAACTAGAACATTAGTGCAGCAGCTCCCGGAGCACGAAGCAGCAACCGAACCGTACAGGGGCCAGAACAGCTCAGACATGACATGCACAACACCTGCGAGCACAAGACTGCATTCATCAGCTGCACATGCACAAACGTCTTGCGAACCTTGTTTCAGCCCTTGTTTGTGCCGAGTGGCCATGAGCCTGATGAAGCCCAGAGGGCACATTGTCATCCTAGTGCAATGATCGCGATGGACGAAACATAGCGTGTTGCCGAGTCTCAGATTATCTGCTATCACGGGCTCCGGCACCTGGTCCTGCGATCTGGCAACCAGAACAATAAACACTTCAAGAATTGATAGTCCGTGCACTTGGAAAAGGCTGCTGACAAGGAACACGGAAGCAGAGAGGATGATTACCTTTACAGAAGGGCCGCATGTATGCATCAACCTGACACAAGTGAAGCAAATGAGATGATGCCAACAAGGGGTGTGGGTGCAGCCCCAGATGCGCCAGACACCCCCCCTGGTCACCTGACACATTCGCTCACACAAAAAACAGAGTGACAAGAGGAGAATCACTGTGTGTGTGTGCAACTAGTATGTTTCCACTAGTGATTGCGGTCCATGTACTTTCTCATTCTGGAAGCACGGGCGTCAGACCCAGGGCACCTACCTGACGCAACGAAGCTATGGTGCATAGGGGGCGATCAGCCACTTGTACTTGCGATCTATGTTTGTGGCCTCCTTATCGTGCGAGTTGTGCAACAGATTCGTCGTCAACCCCACATACAAAATGCTTGCAGCCTCGGCCTTCTGCGAAAGTGACCTTGAGCATTCGAGAACTTCTCCTACCTGTGTCTGCATCTTGGCTTTGCCTCGCCCCACTGTCCCCACCTTGGCGAAGTCGAGATCGGCCCCCATTCGTGCCGGTGTCGCGGCTACTGTTAGTACGGGTTGGCAGTGGACTCATCGCCTACCGGCATTGTGTAATGTCGATCAGTCTGAAAATGTGTGTGTATATATATACACATATATTTATCTGTGTGTGTTTTTTGTGTTTGTGTTTGTGTTTGCGCTCGAAAGCGCGCTTGCGTCTGCGAATGTGCACGCGCGCGCGTTCATGTCTTGTTCTTTGGAAGGATGCCGATCCGAGCTACTCAGAGGACTTTGCCGACGGGACGGGCACAGGCAGGGACTGTTGTGGCCGAGTTTGGGGGCTTTCGTCGGGATTTGGGCTACCCGAAGTCTTATCGGCGAAAATGAGGAGAGCAACTGGTATTTGCAATGAATGTCTTCCGAAGTATATGGCTTCAGGGCTGTTCACGCCTGTCGTCGTTTAGCAAGGAAGCCATCTCGTTCGTGTTGTTTCTCCCACGTGGGCAGTGGTTTTGTTTGAACTGATTTGCGCCCGAACTATCTAATCAAGCGACTGGAGGTGTGTTTGCGCTTGCTGCTGTGTCTGAAGCCTTTTATGTCCGGGTACTTGGAACGATACGGAAGGTTGTTCTTCCATCCTCGCCCGGTGCCCTAAGCGTTGATTGGAGCGTCTTGGTTGCTGGATTTGGTTACATCGACGAAGAGGGGCCAGCGTGTCTCTTTGACCTCCTTGCTTGCTGAGCTCTTGATTCTTGTGCATGCTTGAACTTGTTGCTTGAGGCTTGGCGTTGCATCTTGTTTCAACAACGGCTTCCTTCTATCGTAATGATGCCGAAGAAAGCGTACACGTCCGAAACGTTGAAGCCCGCGTGATTTACGTGCGGCGCCGCATGGCGGCGCTCCTGCGCTGTCCGAGGTGCTGGTACCTCATGTCGCAGTGTCGCTTTGGTCTGTTGGTCGTAGTTATATATAAAGCCGACGATGCGTGTGTTCTTGCTTGTTTAGGAAGGCTGATGTCCTGCTCGCTTGCCTTCGTGCATCTTGCTACAGTTGCATTTTCCGCTTGAACTGATTTCACCTCGGACCTTGCTGACTTTGGTTTGACCACATGTGCCTTTGGTGGGCCAGCTCGGTACAAGCTGGGTGCTTTATTGGTTCAAATGTCGTGGTGTTCACTGCCCCATGTGAGTTAGTTTTCGGACGATTGGTTTACTTGAAGTTGTTGCCCCACTGAAGCGTTTCGCTGGGGATCTCTGCTCGAAGTGCTGTCTGCTTAAACACAGCGTTGTTTCCGACTGGACTCCGTATGCGCAGGAAGAGGAACGCATAAACAGCAAAGATTTCCAAGCATGAAGCCGACCAAGCCGACCAGGCCGGATTAAGATAGCCCCAAAGCTCAGATTGGGAGTGCCGACCCCAGGAACCCTGGACCGGAGCGAGCCCAGGCGGGGTTGCCGGGGTTTGAAAGGTTATTTGGGCACCATGTTTTAAGAGAACCTTTTCCATTGTTCTTTTTATGCACATCTTGCGTTAAGAGGCACCTACGTTAACTAACGCCGCTACACCCGCAGCCACGGCTCCACTGCCGCGGCAGCGCTTGACTCCACCTTGGCAGCAGTGGCCCTTGGGGACATGGATCGAAACGCTTCAAGGCCACACAAGCAGCCCGATTGGAAGTTAAGAAGCGCGCCCCAATTTCGTGCCTAGTCTCCCAACTCTCCTTGTCCTGCTTCAGACTGCGTTGCACTCCTATAGCTTTCATTCTCTAGCTTCACCTTCGTTGAGCAGTATCATCGCGGCTCAGCCAGCTGTCTCCCAACTCCAGGCCCATGTAGCAAAGGATGGAACAGCATTCGAGCTTGTCTCTTCACTGGCAGTACATTCCCATTGCCACAACAGAACCATCATCATCATCATCATCATCATCATCATCATCATCATCATCATCATCATCATCATCATCATCCACGGGTTGGTTGCAGACTTTCGTCTTCATGCTCGGATCTGCTGGCTTCACAAACGCGGGATTCTGGAGCCAGTTGTCCATGGAGTTCCAATGCCTGTTAAGGTCCTAAAGGCTAGCTATATGGCTGTTGTGGAAATACCCGATTTGGGGCAACTTTATTTACCCTGCGACCCAGTGGGACTTATCTCCTCTCAAACAGGCCAGCACATGCAGCACAGGTGCAAGCTTGCGATGTTTTCCGGTACTCTGGAAGATGAGGAGTCAGCAATTGCATTACATGCAGGGATGGCAAGAGGAAACCTACTTGGTCATCTGCACCTCGATGCCGGGAGTGCGGTCGGAGCCGCTTCAGTTTGTTTGCCTCTTTTTCTTGCTTCGTTGCCGAGGACTTGTTTGATGGCAGGAGGTGCAAGGCATGGGGATGGTGGCGCGGCGGCTGCTACCTCCTTTTTTGTGCTCCGCTGTTGAGTACCCCTGCAGTGTTCCTCCGCTTTCTGCCTACAGTTTCAACAGATCAGAAGGCCCAGCACATTCTCAATGCAGGATCGCACGCAGTGAAAAGTTGGAACAATGTACCTGGAGAGACAACAATTCCCAGGCCACATTTACTTTAGCCCTGCTGGCCACGCTCTGCCCTCCAGACGCCGCGTTGGCACTGGAGCACAGAAAGTGGGCAGCGCCCCCTTGACGCCTTGCGTGTAGAGCAGTTGCCCAGCAGTGTCTGCAGTCTGGCTTCGTCGGGTATACCGGTATACCTTGCCCTGCTCAGTACTGTGGCCTACGCCCCGCCCCAGAGCAGCGCGTGCAATGAAACAATGGACTACCCTGCACTGGCATATCAACATCTAAACGTGCTGTGTTTAGGCTTTGACATAAGCAGATAGGAAGCTGGTCAATTTTGCTTAGCTAACAGAATGCTGTAGAATGCCTCATATGTGTTCGAGCCCTGCCGCTCCAGCTTCCTATCTTGCTCAAGAGCTGTTTGACCGCCAGGCTGCCCTGTGGGCTGCGTGAGGAAAAACACATAACACCCATCACTTGCGGAAAATACAACAGTGGGTTGATGTGGGTTGGTTGCCTTGCGCTTGTGTTAATCGAAGCATGCCGAGTCAAGGAGTTGGCTTAAATAGATGGGAAGCTGGACCACTCTAAGCTTCTAAGCCTTGAGCATGAAGCGAGCCCAAAGAGATGACCGGCAAGACGCCTCACAGGCAGAGTGTCGCTGCCTCGCCCCTCGCTTCTCCCCGCAGCCGGACCTCGGAGAAGGCCCTCGTTGGTTGAAGTCGTTGGTTGAAGGAAGTTGACTGTCGAAATACAGGTCACACTTCGGGCTTGTCGAGCCTAATCCTGAGGGTCTTTTCGGCTTGACCTTCGGTCTCGTAGCTCAGGCTGCAGGAATGTCGAAAAACATGTCAGCGTGTCGACTCTCTTCTTAAGCTTCAGTATGGGAGCGCTACTCGTTGAGTTTTGGGTTGGTCTCACCTTTCAGGCTTTGGAATGGATTGCTGCAAGAGGGTGTTTTTGTTGGGAAAACATGTGTCATGGCCCCCTCGAAGGAAACTTGCATGTTCGGAAATGGGCAGGGGATCATGCAGGGGATCATGTGGAAAGGTTGTGCGCTGTGCGTGTTGTGCCTTAATTACGCCCGATGCACATAAGCCGTACCCTCGTTTAACCAGGAGCTGCACCCAGAGACCCTTAGCTTCTTAAACCCTGTGAGCCGTTTTCGGCACTAAAAGCCTCAGATTGCACCTTTTGTGGTCATTGCAAATGGTTTTGGGCTCTGCATTAACATCTCCAGTTCTAAAGACTTAAAGACTCGCGACAGCGTGTGCAAAGCTTGTGGAGGCTGGCCAGGCTGTGCTGTCCGACAGGGTTTCACACAAACAATTAAGCAACAGAAGTTTTGGATGGTGGGCTGGAGACATGTCACATGTCCATTCGGATTTGCTACGGAACGTCAACGAAACGAGGCATCGCAGGCTTCAAGCACGTATCTGCCACTGAGGACGCCAGCTACTCAGAAGACTTTGCGGAGGCCACGCTCGAGGCCACCTTGGAGGCCATTTTGGGGTCTCCAAGATTGGCATGTTGGGGCTTAGAGGGAGGTAAGGGCATGTCACGGTCTGTCATGGTACCTTACGGTACGTCACAGGGTGAGAATACGAGAGAGAAACAAGCCTTGTGAGCCAGCCAGAGCGTCCGTGGGCGTAACCCGAGCAGCCTTTACAGAGTAATCTTCCAACTCAGAACCCAACCTACTTTTTGGCTTCATGTCCAGAGTCCAGGGATATCATTCGATCCCAGCGATTTTTTAAAGCGCAGAATCAGAGGAGTTGCAGCATGCAGGCATGAACTGCATCAGCTGCGCGAGTACTTGACGAAACGTTTGCAACTGTACAAACGACATCGTCAGGTTGGGGTAACAAAATTAATGTGCTGAGGCATGCTCGTGCAACATCAGAAAGGAGGCCATCCGACAGGCGCATAAAGCTCCGACAAACTCAGCCCTTTTTTCCCAGACTCTGACGAAGTGATGGTTGTGAACGAAGAACAGATGTAAATTCGTAAATTCGGGCATCAAAGTCACCAGACTATACAGACTGCTTGTATGCACCTCGAACAGAGGCTGAGGTAAACAAACACTTATGCATGAAATGCCTGCGTGGTCTGAGGCGGTTGTTTGCCAATCGCATGACCTTTGAGCTGTACACATTCCCCAAATCATGAGTTTATCAGACATGATGCCAAGAATGATGTGCCGTTCATCCCTGATGATACTCAGTGTAATCGTTGAGACCAAAACCTGGTGCCATTCTCCGATTGCTTGTTCACGTCTGTAGGTTCGTGACTTTGCATGGCCCTGCCCCAAACTTGCCTATGAGAGCCCTCTCCAAAACACGCAAGAGCAGAGCAAAAATGAAGTGCCTCCGAGGAAGCTTTGCCATCGGCAGAGGTCCAGCCGCAATCCCAGCTTCTGGCTTTGCTTGCAGGACCTTTCTTCGCCAGTTCTTGAGGAAAAAAGAGCCGGTTTAGGCGTCAGGCTTTTTGGGCTCTGACTTGGCTGTGCTTTGGGGGGCCTCTCGCTCGGCGTAAATGCGCAGTCTTGCCGCCTCCTAGGGGTTATTCAGAAGACATCACGACGAAAGACCGGAAGAGGTTGCACTGAATGTCCCAAAATCATGTGGTCCTTCAAAGCTTTGCCATGCCGAGTACTCGATGGCATCTCCGATCCTGGCAGGAATCCCGAAAGTAGCACAGCACATCCCAAAACCCCAAACCTCCAAATGCAAAAATAAAGCCATAAACCCTGGTGCAATGGTGCAATTGCTTCTGCAGGCACCCGGCTTTGAACAGGACTGAAAGGGTAGGGGGGAAAGCGGACGGAGAGGGGGGAACGTTTTGGGGCCTCAGGACTGAAGGTTTCCAGGGCTTTACCAGGGCTTTTGACGGGCCTTGACTTTTAGGTTTAAGAGGGTTTGGGGGGATCATCGTGGGTCTGTTTAGCGCATTTGAAAGACCTTAAACCTCCACTCTAAACCGCCTTTCCGTCCCAGCAGGCGGCAGGAGATCGCTTTACGCCAGCAGGTCTCGCCATTCCTCCCTTTTTTCCTGCCTTTGTCCAGCATCTGCGTTTAGGATTTGCGACTCTTGCTTGGAATGGTTTGAGTGGGTTGATGTCTTGTGGTTTTGGGCATTGTTGCAGCATCATAGAGCCATACAAAGGGAGCACTAGGCCGTGACATTTGAACCTTTGGCTTCTAGCAGCTTTCATGATGCCACCATCCGAAAAGTTTTTTGACACCCTTAGTGGGCTTGGATGCACAGGGTTGAGAAACCTGATTGCCATCTGCGTTGCGAAATTGACGGGTGTTGCCATTTAGGGTTGGTTGTTTTGGGGCTAGCTAGACGTCAACCCTGAAACCATTATATGCTGAAGAGCACAATCATTTTACTCGTAGCTCCCCTTGACGCCCTGAGTTGTACATCTGCCGGAACCTCTCGGAGAACTTGGGCCGAAGCTAGCTTGAATGCACCTGGCCGCTACTAGCTGCTAGCCCTAGGACCCTAGGATCTTGTGAAACCTTTCCGGATTCCCAAGCCCTCAGCGTGGCGCCAGGCCGATGCAAAGAGGACAGTGATCGTGCCTGCGGTGGCCAGCGCCATGCTTTGGCCGTTTCGGAGAGGGGTTCGCTTGGGCTTCTAACATGTAGGCCTAAAGGGCTTGTATTGCAGGCTTCAAGGCACTGGAATTCCGGTTTGGGAGTCGGGGGTTGAGTTTTTTTCCGACTAGGGATGGTGCTCACCTCATTCCGCCTGTGGCTCCGCCAGGTTTCCGACGAAGATGACATTGAAGAAGAGGAGGGGCCATGTGCACACCCATCCTAAGCAGAAGATTGAAGCCCGTAAATGCACATCCGTACAACCCCAATTAACAAACCAACTGAGCATGCCGTATTTGTGTCATGGTCACATGGTGCACATGCCCATCAGAGTGGTTGACGAGGGCGAGTGGAAAGTAGTGGAAAGACGGCTCTGCAGCTGTCAGCACCTCTAGTACTGCGAGTAGCAGTATGGCAACATTGGCACCCATGCTTCAATGTCGTGTCAGGATATTCCGGAAGGTGGAGACTTCAGTGAAGACGACCTCGAGGCTGCGAAAGGGGAGGAGGCTTCCTCTTAAGGCTTAGGGGTCGACGTCTTGGACTACCAGTTGGAACCTCCTTGCCCATCTTTCCACATCCTTCCCCCCAAACCTCTTGATTCCAAGGAGCTTCAGATCTTCAGCTTATTAAGCCCAATTCCTACAAATCTGGATTTGGCCCAGTACTTGCGTAGGACACGCCCAACAGAAGTTGGGCTTTGCGGCCTCGTTAGCATGCAGGCTGAGTGCTTGACGACGCTGACGTGTGGGTTTGCGATGGCTAGGTCTGTGTTTGAACCGCCGTGCGGCTGGAACCTTGAACGTGCCAAAACAGAGCAACCGCAAAACCCTCAAACTAAGTAAAACTGGCTCCGTACAACCCTGGGAACTGCCGCCGTCCTTCTCAGGCCTCCGGCTCAATGTACGATCCCGAGGCCTCTGCCTTCCTCTTGGGGTTTCAGCCTCGGGGCCTCGGGGTGTTGGGTGTAAGAGGGGCTGCGCGACCGCCCCGGAGCTTGCCGCGTGTGGCGAGGCAATCAAGTGTTGCTTAGTGAGGGGAGGGTGTAGGGAAAGCACAAGTCAGGAAGCAGGGCGTGACGGGGGGGTAAGGGACGGGTACACTTTGGACAGGAAAAGCTAGGTCAGCAGCTGGGTACTCGCATCGAAGAGAGCGGGGCAGCACGATCTCTAGGTGATGAGTGAGGTAGGGGGGTGGTTGAGGGCGAGACAGGGAAGAGGGGGGCAGAAGTCACGAAGACACGCACACACAAGGAGGGGGAGAAAATGCCGGTCCTGCTTGCTTTATGCTACGCAGTTCTGGGAATTGAACCCAGGACCTCTCGCACCCGAAGCGAGGATCATGCCACTAGACCAAACAGCCAGTGGCATTGCTGGTTCACCAAGACAAACACAAGACAACAGCCAGTGGCACTGCTGACTCAGAAAGACAAACACAAAGCATGGCTGCTTGTCTTAAAAACTTTTGCGAAAAGCACAAAGTGTTGCACAGCTCTCACACACACACAAAACATGCTTTGCAGGACTTACAGCCTATGAGGTCTTCAATTTGAGAACACTGCAGCTTCTAGATTCTAGAGTTTAGGGATGTCAGGGCGTGGCGATGCATGGTTCAGACGTTCTTAGAGGTTCAGGGCTCGGACAGCCTGGATGTCGCGATGGCGTGATATGGCATGAGGTATGTTTTATTTCATACTGCATAATTCGAATGTGTTCTAATGCGTGTTCAAGCGGGGTAGGGTTTGCGGGACCCACTGCACCTCCTTAAAACGGCGCATGGGGCGTCCTCGAAATTCTGGGCGGAAACGACAACCCTCTCGGTGTTCCCCAGGCGTCGTTGCGTTGGTGACGCTGGAATTCTCTGGGCAACCCTCTCGGTGAGAAAAAGGAGAGAGATACAAAAGAGCGACGAACAAAAAACCACTCGGCCAAAGTGCCATCTGATACAAAAATCTGATGACCTTCCGCTTTGAAGACGACGCAGAACGATCGCTGTGGGTACCTCTGAGCACAAGGCGGCCACAACTTTCGATCCAAGTGTCCCGCGACGCTGGCGCGTGGGGCGTCCTCGACATTCTGGGCGCAAACCGACAACCGTGTCGTGCGGCTGGCCAGGGGTGTCGTCGACGTTAGCTGTTTCCGTGTCTGACAAGCCCAGATGTTTGCAGATGTGCGTGGGTTGCGGCCGTGCTGTGGGAGATGATGTTTGGGATGATGGAAGGAATGACGAATCGCGTCTTCGTATCGTCTTCCAAGCGTTTCATCTTGCTGAAACTTGAAGGTCTCGCGAGTTCTTAATCGCGGCTCAAGTATGCTACCAGTATCGGGACAACCGTTCTCTAGCATGGAAATCTCAGATGACTCAGATTCAGGCATGCCTCCCTCCCTTGGACATTCCTTTTAGGTTCCGCGAATTGAGACTTAAATGCTTGGACGGCCCTTGCTGGGGCTTGTTCACTGCTTCAATTAGCAAGTCATTGCAAGGCAACCGGGCCTCGAACCAACTCGGCTATGACATATCATGACTTTTAAAGCTAGAAAAGGCCTGGACTCCTGAACTTCGGTTCCTTCTGGCAGGCTAGGCGCAGAGAGATGGAGAAAGAGGCACAGAGGCAAGAGGAGGAGGCTCGGAAGTGGGTCTCTTGAAATTTCCCGAAGCGGGGGTGGCGTCGCCATCACCACCCCCCAAAACCAGCAGCCCAAACCCCCAAATGCACCACCAGCAGTGGCAGGTCTCTGGACATTTTGAGTTGCAGGGTGCTGTTGGTAGGGGGCGGAGGGGGGGCTTTGGGTTTCATGGGGGGTCTTAGGCTGCAGGGGAGTCGCGCTAGGAAGATTCACGCTCTTGCTTGCACTGAATCCCTCCCAGCATTATGCCACCACAGTACTACACTATTTCGCTGCTCTGGTCTTCGGAGGCAACTGTGCTGTTGATTGATACCGGCAACTCTAGGGCTATTCTCCTGTACTGCCGATTCTCGCAAAAACTCCCGAGAATCTCACAGAGTATATCCCCCTGAAGCGCCCACCCCAAAGAATCCCGCAGCGTATCCCCGGAGTGCCTACTGCTACCCCCAGAGAATCCTGCAGAGAATCCCTGTGGAGCCTGTGGAGCGTGTGCAGTGCCCTCCCCCCAAAGAAGTCCGCTGAGAATCTCGCAAGGCACTGCATCCCCTCAACACCGTATCCCGCAGAGTATCCCTGGAGCGCCACTTTGTTGTTCAGCGGTGCAGGGTTTTCGAATGACAGAGTTCGGCTCGAACGTGGACTAGTCGTTCCTGCACGTAGACGATTCTTCGAATTCGGAACTGAACCCACAGTAACTTACTGTGCTTTCTGAGTTCAGCGAACGACCCGTGCCCCTCCTTGCACGTCGGCAGGAGCGACTTCGCAAGGAACAGGAGCAAGCCGAACAGGTGGGTCTCAAAAACTCAGGTACACTCGGTAGGGCCTTAAGGGGGTAGGTTTTTGTCTTCAGCACCCTCAAAACTTTATATGCCTTGCCTTCTTCTCAGCTTAAACGGTTAAACTTAAACATGCAGTGCAACATGCAGGCGCGCAAGCAGCGGGAGATCGATGAGGCCAACCGCCGACTGGCGGCGGAAAGGAAGCGCAAACTCGAGGCCTGTCCGGGGGACTTGGCAGGGCCTCGTGGGTTGAGCTCTTGTTGACTACTTATGTCATGGTGGCTGCTGTCTGTCATTCGACTTCTTCTTGTGGAGTGGTGGTGAATGATTGATGGACCTCCGCAGCTTCAACCTTGCTTGTGCAAGGAGGAGGAGGAGGCAAAAAGGCGCGTGGAGGAAGAAGCTTATCGAAAGAAACAGGAGGAAGAGCTCCGCCGAGCTGAGGCTGCCCGGAAGGAGGAGGAGCAGCGCAGGAAGACTGAGGAGGAGGCCAGGAAGAGGGAGGAACAACGCCAGAAAGCTGAGGAAGAGGAGCGAAAGCAAGCCGAGGAGGAGATCAGGAAACGGGAGGAGGAGGAGGAGCGAAAGAAAGCTGCAGAAGAGAGCAGGAAGAGGGAGGAGGAGCAGGGAAAGAAAGTCGAGGAGGAGATGAGGAAACGGGAAGAGGAGGAGCGAAAGCAAGCCGCGGAAGAGAGCAGGAAAAGGGAGGAGGAGCAACGAGCGAAAGCCGAGGAGGAGATGAGGAAACGGGAAGAGGAGGAGCGAAAGCAAGCCGCGGAAGAGAGCAGGAAAAGGGAGGAGGAGCAACGAGCGAAAGCCGAGGAGGAGAGGAGGAAACGGGAGGAGGAGGAGGAGGAACGAAAGAAAGCCGAGGAGGAAGCCAGGAAACGGCGCGACGAGGAGGAAGAACGCGGTGAAGCTGGTGAAGCTGCGGAGATCAAGAGGAGAAAGCAGGAAGATCCAGGACAGGCTGAGCCTGCCCCACTGGACGACGCTCGAAGTAAAGACCGGCTGGTAGCTTCGAGCACTTCGAGCACGTCGAGCACGTCGAAGGAAGGGGCACCGGCATCACCGGCATCCAAGAAGCTGTGTGAAGAGAACAGCATTGCAGACGGTGCTAGGACTGCTATGAGGGACCAGCCAGCCGGGCAAGCACGCGACAACAGTGAGCTGTTGAAGGGCACGGTTAATGGCTTCGAGGACTCTCCTACCCGCCCTGGGTTGCGCCGCTTCTCTGGAGCTTGGATTCAGACGGAGCTGGACCTTGCAAGTGCTCCGGTCGATCAGGTATATGAGGGTGGGGAAAGCCAGGCAAGCCATGTTGGCCCTGAGCTGCCGAAGCACCTTGGCTCTCCGCAGTGGGATTCGAGGGATGCTTGGTCGTCGCCTAAGCACAGGCAGATGCAGTGGAATCGCGATTACCGAAGCCGCCAGAGAGACCAAACAGACCAGACGGAGGAGACAAACCAGAGGTGGTCGTGGGAGGCCAACTCTGGCCACACGGACTGGGAAGAGTGGCGACACGATGAGCGAAATGGAGACGAAAGCGGCGAATGGCGAAGAAAGCGGCGAAATGGGGATTGGTGGGACTGGACCGACTCGACATACTCGGCCGACTGGGCCGAACCGCGCCGCTCTGAGGACGTCCGTCTGCTGTTTGAGGCAAACGGACGCCAAGGATGCTCGGTTGAGAATGTTGCAATGAGACACAGTACCTGAGTGTTTGCGGAAACTTTGCACCCTCCCTTTGGATTCAGGGCGGCCACATGGTCGAGACGTAATGTTGAGTTCGTTGTAATAATCCCCATCCAAGATTTGTTCTGGCGCGGGGTCTGAACACAAGTTTTGCAGAACACCGGGGGGCCTCTTTTTGGCATCTTTGGCCTGTTCCGGGTTTCTTCTCTTAGCAATGCTGTCTCTGCTCGATTGAGAAAAGCTTGCAATAAGATCTCTTGACCAAACTTGGAACATTTTCCGGAAACAGCTTTTTCTGCATCCTGCCTGCCAGGATGGGAGCGCTTCAGCGGACAAGATGCCGCGACCTGGAGCCAAAGACGTTCTAGGGCCATGTGGCAGGAACCGGAGGAACCGGAGAGCCCTGGCCAGCGTTGGCATGGGAAGAGCCGGTCCGGGCAGGCAGACTCTTGGTGGCAACGTTGTAGGCTCTATGACTTCATGACACTATGACTGCCAGTTTCTGAGGGCTCGCGGAGCTACATAACTAAGGCATAGCTTGCATTCAGGGGTTGGTTTCTATTGGCTTTTATTGTTTTTTTGTATTGGTTTTCATTGGTTTTCTATTGGTTTTCTATTGGTTTTGTATTGGTTTTGTAGTGATTGGTTTTGATAGGTCTTTATTAGTTTTCTATTGGTTTTTATTGGTTTTCTCTTGGTTGTGATTGGTTTTGTATTGGTTTTTATAGGTTTTTATTGGTTTTCTATGGTTTTCTATTGGTTTTTGTTGGTTTTCTACTGTTTTTTTGGTTTTCTATTGGTTTTCTATTGTTTTTTTGGTTTTCTATTGGTGTTTATGGTTTTCTATTGGTTTTGTATTGGTTTTTATTTGTTTTCATTGGTTTTCTATTGGTTTTCTATTGGTTTTCTATTGGTTTTTATTGGTTTTTGTTGGTTTGTATTGGTTTTCTAATCTTGGATTTCCTGTCCTTGTCCTTTTTGCCAGTACTTTTGGCTGCCTTCCCTCCTTCTCAGGTAAGCCAGGCTGGGGCAGGTTGATTTACATGATGAGAACAAGGCCCCTTTCGCCTCGGCATGGTTTGGCTGGTGTGGGGGGGGGGGGGGTAAAGTTCCCCCGAGGGCCTTCACGCTACAACCCTAGACCATCCCAGACCTCAAACTCGATTACGCCCTGTCATTTTTAACCTAAACCAAAAACTTACGCCTTCCAGCCTATTGATTGAGCTCAGAGCTTAACCCTAAACCCAAACCCCCGAGCCCAAACCCTACCCTCTCGGCTTTATAGTGTGGGCCTAAACCCTAAAAGTCCTACAAGCCTTATAAGCCTCCCCTACTCCCTAAAGCGTGCACTTCAAAGACCGCAAAGCCCCAAATCTCTAAGCCCAAAACCCGAACAAAAAAACCCACACCCCCGCAAACCCAAGCTCTGTCCCAAAACACGACCACTTTGCACTGGAGCTCCCTCCGACCCATGAAGGTTGAGACTGAGCTCTAGGGTAAAAAATGTCTTGAACCTCCTTCAAAGTGTATGAAGCAAATGTCTTGAGAGCCTTCCTTCCAACCAAAGCTTGCGGTTTTTTTTTTTTCATGTTCGGGGCGAGGCGAGGCCTGATTTGTTATGAGCCGAGGCGAGGCCCCGGCCAGGCGGCGCCCGGTTAATTGCCTTAGACGTCCGCATGCGCTCGAGAGGACATATCGATTTTTTTAGATTCTTAAGTGCTGTATATTTAGAGCGTGCGGGTAGGGGTTTTGGGTCAGGGTTCAGTCGAAGATGTTTAGGGTCAGGCTTCCAAACTTAAGGGCTCCCCTGAACACCCAGAACCTAAAACCTCGAACCCCAAGAACCCTTGTCGACAGCTTTCGTTCCAGTCCCTTATCCCCAAGTTCTGTATGATGTTCTCAGACGCTGCGTGCAAAACGCAGCTTACGACACTCGAGATCCCGAGCTTCTGCAACTTCACCTTGGTCTTGCTTGATCTCACCCAGATCTACAACCCAGCCAAGGACAGAGAAGGTCTCTGGAGCCAGCTCGAGGAGTTGGATCGGGAGCGGGCGCACCGCAGCCCGTTCCTCGCTCTGCAAGAAGAAACGCTGTCTTTCCTGATACTTTAGGACCTAGTTTACATTGACTTTTAAGGACATGTCAGACGGATGTGTGATCAAAGTGCCACACTATAGCGTGTTGTGTTTTTTCATTGTAGCTGGTGAGGCATCAAATCTCACACGCGCAGGAGAGCAAGCCCAACCTACTCCCTTGTCTTTTGTTTATAAAATAATAAGAATAATAACAATAATAATGTTTTTTTTCTCTCTCTCTGTCTCTCGCTCTCGCTGTCGCTGTCCCTGTCCCTGTTCCTGTCGCTGTCTCTGTCTCTGTCTCTGTCTCTGCCTCTGCCTCTGCCTCTGCCTCTGCCTCTGCCTCTGTCTCTGTCTCTGTCTCTGTCTCTGTCGCTGTCTCTCTCTCTCTCTGTCTCTCGCTCTTGCGTCGCCGTAGGTCTGGACAAACGGAAGTTTTGCGCTCGATAGCAGCTTGAGAGAGGGCGGAAATGGATTTGACAAGAAGCATTCTGGTCTGCGTGTTGATCTCTCATTCCCATAGCACAGTGGCTTTCAAGCGGTCCAACAAAACATCCCAACAAAACATCAAACCTCAGCACCTCTGTTTTTGAAAGTTTTTTTCGAGCCACGGCAACACCAGACCAATGAGTAAATGGGTTAAAGGGTCGATGGTCGCAGGCCACGTATCAGCACTAGAAGCACGAACTTTCAAGGAGCCACGCCTCCGGACTGTGGCAGCCTCCGCCACGTGCACGAAGCCCCAGCACATTCGGAGGAACGGTGGAAGTCTGGTTTCGTTCGCGAAGTGTTCAAGCCGAGCTGCAGGCTAGTTAGGTTGAGGGTGCAAATGAGAGGAGTAGGTCGTAGGTTGCTTGTAGAGGTCAGGTTCACTTCGACTCCGCACCTGAAGCCTGCAGCCTTGAATCCCAGGTTCTAAACCCCCAATTCAAAAAACATCGATCCCAAAAACTCCTGAACGTGCTAAACGTCCTGAGCCCAGACAGCAACTTGAAACGGAAAGACCTCACAGCAAAACACCAAATACCCCCCCCCCCCCCGCCCCACCCCTTCCGCCCCCCCCCCCCACCCCCCCCACCCCCACCCCCCCCCCCCCCCCCCCCCCCCCCCCCCCCGCCACCCCCCCATCAGAAAAGAGGCATGGGAATCACACTTCGCCGATCTGCCCTCTGGGCCTTCGCCTGAGTTTGCAAGTCTCAGCTGGAAGAGCTCGATAGGAGTTTATGGCTTAAATGCTGTTTTGGGGCTCTGACACGAACTTGCAAGCTTCGTTGGTGAGTGCGGGGCATGGGAGCCCTAGAGCTTGAAAGTAACTTGGTGGCCTTTCCCCACGTAGTGATGTGGCGACAAGGCGGATAAGAGGACGTGAGTCCGAGTGCTAAAAACACAGAAGAAACCTTCTTGTGGATGAGTCAACGAGCGATTCTCTGCTCCAAGACTTCGCAACTGCCCTAAGCCCCAAGCCCAAGCTCGGGCTCTCTTTCCAAATGGCCGCACCCACGCGCGTAACTCCACTCGGAGCCAAACCTTGAGTCCCGGCTGGAGGCCTGACCACTGGGCAGGGATTTGACTTTCAGAATCGCGGCCTTTGGGTTTAGCTTAGGCCTTCGAGTTGTAGATTCGTCAAGTAGTTCAGGAATTAGAGCTGCCCACGAGGCACAGGCCGTCTGACAGGGTCTCGGCGCCACACCAGCCACCAGGCGGAGTGCTGGGCGCAGGTTTGGAGTTTGGATTCAGGGCTTGAACCAGGACATATCCTGAGGCACCTCATGTACCCAAGGCCAGGCCGGCAACTTCGTCTTTTGCGCTCATGTTACTTGATTTTCCTGGAAAGATATGGCGCCTCCACTATGAGGCTCTTGGTTCGCACATGTGCACCCTGAACCCCAAAGTCTAAGTCCAGGCTTCTACGGCCACCCCACGCCCTTCGGCGTACTGCTCGGTGCTGAGATGAGTGGGAGATGGTGTTCAGCTCCAAAGCCGAAGCCCTCCACCCTACCAGTACACCGTGTACATACTACTCCAGTTCGGGGTCTTCGCCGGCATAGTTTAGGTAGGGTCCAGATTTTTAGGGCCTGTAGGTTTCCTTTTTGCAGATGATTTGTTTGGTTTGAACTGTGCAAGGTTGGGGTTTAAAGTGTGTGCGTCACGCCGACGCTCAGCGGCCCAACGGAGCAACTGCGCAAGGAGACAGCAAACCAGCGGTGCTGTTAGCACATCGCAGGACACAGCGTTTTCAGACACTCATTCTGTGGTCCCCACCCGCGCTCGTACTATTGTTATCGCTATGCTGCTCAGCCTTCTCAGAGGTTTGCAAAAGGTCGAAAACATCCTGCAAGGCGTCTGGGAGGCAACGAAGGGTCAGCCTTTGCACTCTCTTGAAGCCCACAAGGGCCGGCCACGAGGGTTTGGGCTGAGATCCTGTGAGTTCGAGGTATCCGTGGGGCTTTGCTGGCTACTCGGTCCCAGCACCAGGCCTGGGGCCGGGGGGCAGCTCTGAGATAAGAGTTCACGATTTTGGTGTTGGGGGTGTTTATGGTGAAGGTCAGTCGGACGTCGGTGTTCGGGGATTCGAAGTTTGGGTGGTCGGGAGATGTCGGGAGCAGAAAGTCAGTAACCCCGTCTAGACCCTCTTCACTTCAACACCTTTTTACAACCTTCCATCCTGACAGTTCACATATCCCGAGGACCTTGGAAGCAGCCCATCGTGGATTCCGTGGCGCTCCTAGCAATATGCGAATATTTCTACAAAACTGTTACAGCCTGAGATGGTACGGGTTGGCGTTGTGTCATCAATGGGGCCCTTTGTCTAGGCTAATGTGTGCGGTGACAGCAAGATCCGCTTTGGCATTGGGCTTGGGGCTCCTTCTTCTTGCCCCATCTTGCCCTCATCTTACCCCATCTTGGACCCATCTTGCCCCGCGCCTCTGAGTTGACCTTGTCGCCAACAGGCCGCGCGACCGCGTCTTGCTTGATGTATAGGGGTGTGGGGTGCTTTCGGCTTAAACAAGTAGCTCAAGGACAAGTAGCTCAAGGACAAGGCGTTCGAAGTCTTGGATTCACGTTTGGTTGCGGCTGTTGGAGCTTAAGGGCTTTTATGGAGCTCGAGATGACTCAGCCCAATCACCGTTTGTAAGGTTTGGGGAAGGCTTTGCACTGAATGAAATTCCTTTTTCTTCTGCAGCCATCATGCTGATAACAGCCTTGAAACCAGTCATAGAAAACAGTACAGCTAGGGTGAAGGGCGTTCATTGACGTGGCTGGAGGAAGTCTTTTTGTGTAAGGTCTTCGGGTTGAAGCTGTGGAAGGGGCCTGGTACAAGATCTTGCAAGAAGCCCGAACTCCCTCTCAAAGCCCGAACAAGAACCCTACTTCATTCCTAAATTTTCAGCTTGAGAAGGATCGAATGGGGAACCTCGAAGTATACGGTACACCCAACCTCGCGCGGAGGCTCGCGCCCGGCTGCCAGCCCAAACACCCCCGGGCCAAGAACCCAGCATGTCCCAGCATCTTTCGCATGCAGATGAGGTTTCGGATGGGCTTTAAGGCTCTTTGTTGATACACCCTTGCCGAGAAAGGCCTGCAATGCCTTCAAATCTTGCCACTGTACACTACAAGGACGTGATTTCCTTGTGAGCTGTCGAAATCAAGCTGGTCAAACCTTTTCCAGCAGCAAGAAAATGGACGTCGATGGTTGCTTTGGCCTTCAATTCATTCCTTTCAATACCGATGATGATGCTGGAGCATTGGTTCCAATGCCGGCCGGTGATGCATGCCGGACAACGTCCTTTGTGCTGGCCGCTTGCTGATTGGTGCTATCTACCAGGCACTGTGCCCTGGCGATGCCGACAGAATTTCTGGCTGGTAGCCAGGTTCAAATTCTCCCACTTGAGAAGTATTGCATGGGAAAAGCGGATGCCAGCTCCGAGCCAACCAGCCACAAGTTTTGCTGGCCACATCTGCTCTCGCTGCTAGAGGCATGCAGAGTTCATGTTCCACTGAAAGAACTTTTTGAGCACTATGGTTTTCCCAGCAGGCGCTGGATGGTTTCTTTCATTCTCGGTGTCCTGTTGAGTCTGGCAGTGGTCGGTTGGATCGGCCCTCTTCCAACAAAGCTCGTGGCCCTTGAGTTCATCGCGTTTGAGGACAAAGACAAAGACATAGTCAACAGGAAGCTTCGTCCTGTGCTCCGTCGGCCAAGGCAGGCACCGACCGTCATCTTGAAAATGTGCAAAGGAGTCGAGCCTGGGCTGTCACCGCATGTCACCAGTATGTCACCGCCACAACGTGAGGTCCAAACCATTCCAAACCACTGCACGATACAGATCATCCCTCCCTTGGAATCAATCATCCTGGCCAAGCCTTCTTGGCCAGGTTCATCAGATGTGGATCTGACTCCGGCTCAGCTTGTTGCCCTCCTGCTCTCACTTCCTGGAGCCGCAGCTCACCAGGCAGAGGCGGCCATTCCGAAGCTTTCGCAAGCTATATCTCCCGTCTCCCGAACTTCATAATCTATAATTTCCCGCCTGTCCTTGGAATGCGCCGGCTGCACACACGACACACCACTGCGTGCTTCGTCTTGTCCGCATGAATGCTTCAGTCAACAGCCGATGGCGTCTTCATGAACAAGACTTTCCGCGACCTCGATCTTTCAAACCGAAAGCCTCAAACGTTCGACCTGAGGTGCCAATGCCGCTTCCATGCTTTTGATCCCCAGCAATCCGTACCCAAACCCCAAGCCCGTCAACTGAAGGCCTCCGCCGGCAGCCTCTGATCGGCAGCTGGAGCCACGACCCAGGCGAGTCAGAACGAGGGTCTATGATGTAGGGTGTCGGACTCAGTCTTTGCGTGTTGTATGTCGTCCTGATATGGGTTCCGGTGATGACAGGCAGACTCATTCAAGATGTTGGATGTCCTCAGGTTTGGTGCATGAATGATGCACTGGAGACTCTACAGTGACTCTACAGCGATTCCGAGCAAGGGCGTGAACGCACATGCACACCCACCACGGCACCAGCAAAAACCAACATGCTGGGATACACTCACGCCCGCACAAACTGTGGAAGCCGACCATTCCCTCATAGCACCTAGGTCGTTCATTTGAAACACTTCACTCCATTGCAACATTTGCAAGTGATGAGACAGGTAAAAGAAGCCTTTCTGGCATGTCCAGCAGAGGCGTCGTGGTCTGTGGTCTGACCCGTGACAGGACAGGTGAACATGCAAGTTAGCAGGCTCCACACGCGAACACGCGCACTTCTTTCGATTCGACATGGTAGCTGAAGGAAGGCTTTGCGGCACCGAGACCAACATCATGCAGTCCATCCGTCTTCCTCGATCCCTAAACCCTAAACCCTGGTCAGGGCCTGGTCCGGGTTGGACAACGTTGAGCAACGTGCTCCGTTGCCCTCAGGCAAGGCTGCTGCAAGAGACTACCCCAAACAAAGCGTTTTAGCCGTCAGCTCCCGACGGCAACCTCTGAACCCTTTTTCGGTGTGAGGTTGCATCTTCGCCTTTCATCACAGCCACTGCATTCAGTCGTCTCTAGGGTGCCAGACATCCACCAAAGCACACTGAGGGTCAACCCTCGATGTTTGCTAGGAGCGACCACCGATCCTTTGCCGGTTGAGGCCTGGGATTGCGCATTTTGCTCCAGGGCACCTTTTCGCAAGGATCGCAAGTTTTGGTTCCTCCATGTTCCTCCCCTTGACAGCATCGGGATATTTAGGCCATGTGCGGCAAATCCTCGCCGCCCTCTGCGTTCATACCCGTGCAGGTGCCACCACCACCAGGGCCGAGCGTGTTGGCGCCCGGGCACACAAACAAATGATGCAAGATGGGGGATTAAAGCTTAGGTTTCGACTGCTCTGCATGGCTTGTAGGTTTTGTCATGCAACAGCCGCAAAAGCACGCGCGTGCACGAAAGCAATCAGCAGAAAGGTTAGCGAAAGAGCAAGCCCCAGAGCAGGAGCAAGAGCAAGAGCCTCATGATTTCTAGTTGCGTAGTTGTCCACGTCGTCCACATCGTCCGATAGTCATTTCTGCATTTCCGCCTGCTGCCATCAGTTGTCCGTTCGTGGCTGATACCTTCCCCAGCAAAACCACGCACCTTAATCAAGGAAACGACGCTGGCCCTCGGCTCTCGCGACCTGGACTTTCAGGAGCCATGCTGATGTCAGTTCGAGAGTTGGAGTTCTGTTCTGTTGAGTCTTATATCCGGAGGGCATGGCAGTGTCTCGTTGATTTGGGGATTGCACACCATCCTTCGCCGTAAGCACGTGTCCTATAGTGTGAAGCGGGGGGTTGCTGTGTCGGCACGAACGCCCGCCACCACAAGCCGAAGCCCCTGGCTGGCAGGAGTCCTTAGTTGGCTCCCTTGCGGCCGTCGTGGATGAGACCTGTCTTGGTTCTGTTGATGTGAGTGGGGCCCCGGCCACCTCCCATGCCTTTGCGGTTATGGCTCCAGCATTCGGTCCCTAAGGTTTGAGCTTGTTGTCCCTGAAGCCCAATGCTTGAACTAAGTTTCAGCCCGAAATCATGAAGGTCACTGTGAGTGGCCCAAGTAGCTTCACATGCATGGGCAACAAAGAAGGTTCCACGTAGACCGAGCTCTGGCAGTCCAAGCTAAGTTAGACCTAGTTTGCCATTTCCAGTTTCGTCAGGTAGGCCTATGATTTTCACGAGCTACTTTTGTGCGCAGCCTGAAGCCGTGTTCTGCTTCTTCCCCCTTTCTTACAAGCAGGCCTCGTGCTTCAGCCAAGGAGATGCTTCAGTTCAAGTACGGCTGCAGCATTGCGCCTCGGCGGCCCTGTCCCCAACAATGAGAGGAGCTTTTTTTTTTCTCCCCCGAAATTGTAGATATTACAGGGCTTAGCGTCTGGAAGTTCCCTCTTCGTGTGATGTTGAATTTTCCCTATTGATATAACTAACTCAGGACACCGTGGACTACCGGACCAAACTCCTGGGATTTTGTGATGCAACGCTTTGCTCCATACCGCGCCTGGTGGAGTTTGCAAATTCCCAAAAGGACTTCTTCGCACTCACTGCATTCGCTGGCAACGACCCGGAGAACAACCGGGAGATGCAGATGCGACTGCGGCTGACGTGCCAAGAGCTTGCTTCCTTTGGTGACCTTTCTCAGAGGCTCCGGCTGCTGGCCGGTACCGCTAGCGCTGTGGTGATCATCTCCACCCGCGGCGGTTACTTGCACTGGATTGCACTGGTAAGGGTTCTTCCCAGCACGAGAGGTCACTGAGACAGGTCCAAAGCCACATGTTAGTTGTGTGAACAACAACATGACAACAAGCACAACTTTGTCACTGCATATATCACAACACATCACAACTCAGGCTACGCTGTGCAGGCGCTGGCCGCATTCCGCACAAGCTGCAGCGACGCGCGCTGTGCTGTGGGCCGCTGCCCCGCACGCGGCCGGGTCTTGGAGCACTTCTCTGCCGAGGATCGTTTTGTTGTTCCCCAGAACTCGGAACAGTTCTTGACTGTCAGGTCTAATCAGGGCGATCCCTTGAACCCGTAACTGCAACTTCCAAGTGCCATCAGCCCAAATCAAGCTCCCAGACCCCAGAGGCTCTACTGTCTAGTTGTGGCTTTAAATGGCTATAAGCTCAATAGAGAGCCCTACACCATCCTACGCCCCAGACTCCTGGGAGTTGTGCGACATTTCAGTTCCCCTGAAGTTGGGTTAGAAATTTCGACGATTTCGTGTTCTTAAGAACATCTTCTGTCTTGGCTGTCTTTAGAGTTCCAGGAGTTCTGCAGCGCTGTGGCCCTGGAGCCCGTGATCCTTTCCCAGGTGCGAAGAGTTTCAGACCATTTCGGACCTCAGGAGGCAACTTTCGGCAACATTTAGGCAACGGTTAGGCAACGATTCGGCAACGTTTAGGCAACTTTAGGACTCGGGGCAGTCGGGGCACCTCAGGGGTTCTCAAGGCCTTGCGGTTGCGAGTGTTTCAAGGATAGTGAAGAGGCTTTGAAGCTTAAGTGCAGATGCTGCGCAATCACTTATAAGGTTTAAACGTTGAGCCGTTGAGCCCCAGACTCCAGCTGAAACCCAATCCTAAAAAGGAGCCTTACAGTTGCGGCCTCCAGGCACCTCTCGGCAGCGCCTTCGCAAGCGATCCGCCGGCGCTGACAGAGGCTGCTGCTGTTCGAGATTTTGAAGCCGTAACGTTGTAGCCGCATTGCAGCCTTGTGTCGTTGATTTCGGGTGTGTCGGGGCACTCTTCAGCACGCAGCGCGTCCCTCCCGACTGCCGAATTCCAGGCTAGCCAAAGCCCGCAGCAACTACACTAGCATAGATGTGCAAACTCAGCCAACTTCAGCTTGGAAAGCAAAGTCCCTGCGAACGCCACGGCTATGCTTATGCATCCATGGGCAGTTGAGCCAGTGGGAGAAAGAGTGCGACTGCATTTTCTTCGTGACTCGCCAAAAAATAGTTGTCCATTGTAGGGTAGAACGAAGGCGTCCTTGCGCACACTGCAACGGAGCTGCCGGCCTGCACTCTTGCGGGAGGAACTGAGCTCAAAAGCTGCGGCCTGTCGAGCCTCGTTGGGCCTCTTTGGGCCCTCACGCCCTCTCTCCTAGGGAGGCAAGCGTGCAGCCTTTAAGGCCTCCATGAGCTGACATTGGGCAGCAGATTCCGAACACTGACAGCATTTGAGTTCGTTCTCGTGGTGTAAAACAGAGAACCGAAAAGTTCGACGAGATACACAAGCAACTGCTGATGCCCATCGGGCGACGAAGAGCGCCTGAGCACCAGCCCATCAAGGTGCTCCCCTCAAACTCGCCACAGATGCGGTCCATGAAGCCCCAAAATCACCCACAAAGCTGCGCCGGTTCGTAAAGGCCCAAGGAGGGGGGGGGGACGAATCTCGCAGTGGGCGTCTAGGAAGATCGGCAATGAGAAAGCAGGTCCAACAGTACCCTGAAAGTGTGGCTTGAGGTCTTCCTTCGGACTATGTAAGCTCGAAGAGACGCCGTCCAAGTGCTTTGAGGAGTTCCGGAACCTTCAGCAGCTGCTGGAGGGGCGCCAGGGCCCCTTAAGTCGTGTTGCAAAGCCGCTGTCTCCGCAGCTGCTGGCGGCGCTCCACGCCCGGGCGCCAAACGACGCGTGGCCGAAAGAAGGAAAGCACCTTTTCAATAGGGCGTCGTCCGTCTGTAAATTAGTTTTGATGCTTGTAGTTCTTGAGCTTTTTGGGCGCGCCTAGCCCCCAAATGTTATAGAACTTCATGCACTTTGCTTCGCACCAAGGCTTTGGCGTTCCGGCATGTGGCTGTTGCCTTGGCAAGCACTGATGTGCAGCCAGAGGTGGTCGGAGAGCTTTTCCGCAGGTGAGGTGCTCCATGATTGGAGGAGCGTAGGCTTGAACAATCCTCGCTGGGAGCAGGTTGGTCGAGTGGTTTCGCATCAAGTCCTTGTGCGCTTCTCAGACAAGGAGCTCTTCGCTGCTGGTTGCGTGATGTCACATTTTTCTGGCTTCACGATGCATTGTGTGTGTGTGTGTGTGTGTACATGCCGCACATGGTCAGTTACATGCCATAGGCAGATCATTATGATACCATAGGAGTAGGATCAGCTCTTTCAGTTGAATTCGCTACATGGTGGACGTAAAGTAGTGCAGTACGTCACTAATATTTTGATTTTATCAATAAACTTCATCTCAGAATTTGGTAAATCTTTTTCAGTGCATCTCTTTTGTTGTATATGCAACCAAAACATGGGAAACCTTTTCTGGTAAAGTCTTCGTTTCATCTCAGCGAGAGTGGGTACGATTCCCGAAAGCCATGTTAACATAGAACCTGCACTTCAGACAAGTTGAAACTTGAGCACGAGTAAGCTAAGTCCTTGATGTTGTCGTAACGGCAATACCCCATTTACGGTCTCGGTTGTTTTGGGTAGCAGGTTGTATGTTGCTTTTGTCATTGCCGTTCGTTTCTACGGTGGAGCGTTGAGATTCACGTAGTATGGACCCCAAGAAGTCAAACCTTGACCCGAAGCCCTTCACCCTCGACCGTTTGTGATCCTACACCTCTTCTCCACCCCCTTCTCCACCCTTCTGCCTCAGAGGTCTGCCGCACAGACGGCGCTGGCCGAGGCAAGGCCTTCGGCCTTTAGAGGTTTCTTTAACATACATGTCGGTGTAAATTGCTAAAATTGGTTGAGGGGTCGGCCGTGCAGGCTCTGTGGGACTGGGTGAGCAACTGAGTCTAAATTTGGGAGTTGCGCTGGTAGGTGGTCTTTTTTTTCCCGAGCAGAGGATGAAGATTTTCGTTCTAATCGTTCTGCTCTAAACCTTACTTAAGCTCTGCATGCTCTGCACGCTCTGCTCGGCAGGTTGGCACATCGACCTGAAGCTCTCAACTCTTGTAACCCTCACAGCCCTTGTAGGCCCCGGCGCACGTGGCGCTGGTGGCTTGCCTTCGAAGGTCCGTGGAGAGGCGCTCAGGGAAGCCTTTTCGGCTTCCTTAAGCTCAAGTCATGCAAACCTCAGAGGCCACAAGAAGAACCTCCCGAGCCCTGCATGCTGTGTTTGACTGATTAGGATGAAAGGCTCCAGGGTGTTCAGGGGTTAGGATGTATGCTGCTCGTGTTCTCTTGGGTTGGTTTTTGGTTTCCTTTCGCTTTGTTACGGCTTAGCATTTAGGGTGAAGGGTTTGGGAGGGCTTTTGTGTTTGGGGTTGAAGGGTTGAGGGGTTGTCGGCCCTTGAGTTCTTACGATTCCTTAGACGTGCTGCAAGGAGTTTTGGGTCCATGCCTGCTGCCTTAAGGCCAAAATCCAAGCGGACCCCCGACCTGCCCCAAACTCTCCATGATTTCCACCAGTGCAGCTCAACAGGCACGACCTCTGCGAACTCGGCTGCCAGCTCCTTGCCCGTGCCGCACGGCACCACGTGGAGAACGTGCGAGGCCCAGGTATCTAGAGCCTCAGACTCAGACTCTTACTTTTGGTTGCTCCGGCCTTGTGGGACGCAGCTCTGTTTCTGCGGCTTCTTAAACAGTAGAAGGGCATTTCGCGATCTTGGCTGTTGCGGGACTGTTTATGGGGGCTTGTGGGCTTGAAGGTTTGGAGAAAGATTGGGAGTTTGCTTGCGGGGCCTTTGACTTTGAGGTTGCCTGAAATTTGAGAATTGTACCCCTCGGGTGGAAGGAGTCCAGCCACACTAACGGTCAGTAACCCCAAGACTTGGCTTGCGTAGCTGGTCCCAGGACCCAGGAACGCGCGATCACTTGTCGCCAGCGAAGATTTACAGAGGTGGCGCGGCGGTGCGCGCGCACCTGCCCGTGGCACCTGATTGGAACATTGCCAAATTGCCACGGTTTGCAGATTTTGCGTGGTTATCCAGCACGCAATTTGGCACAAAGGCGCAAAACTACAAAGCAGGTGGCAGTTCCACGTCGCCTCGTCACCTGGCCATTGAGAACTTAGAAAACGCACGAGCTCTCGGGTCTGATGACTGTTTAGTCATGCGCCGGCAGTTCAACTTGCACTGGCAAGTTGCTGTCAGGTCTTCAGCTTTTGTGTGAATCCCGGATTTTAGAATTGCAGCTGCATTTGGCTCAGCAGCATCAGGCTGCCAGTCGGGACTCGCCAAATTCATGGCAATTCCACTGGCAGCAAGAAACGCAAAGTGCACAGGCAAGCAAAATATTTCCCGACCTGGCGGAATGTCACCAAATGCAACACGATCAAAGGCAGCGGTTCCCATGCCTGCGCGTGCTTATTTCAGGGGTTGCCCAGGCCTTCAGCAACTTTAGCATGCAGTTTTAGCGGAAAGTGTGAGTTTTTGGTGAAAGGGAACAGTCTTGGTCAGCTTGGGGGGCCATGGGGGCCACTGCTGCGGTTCTTTTCTTTGTCTTTACATGGGCTACTGACAGGGCAGGATTGCAAGAGATCGCAAGCGTGCTACAGAGTTCATGAAGAGATGAGGCCGCCGCATTCGTCAGAGCTGGTGCGCCTCAGCTTGTCTGCCAGATACTGGGGAGGCCGACATCGTGAGTCTTTACTTGGTGCTGAGAGTCTGTATCGTGTTTGATTGATCGGTTTATCTTGATTTGATGTTGTGGTCAGAGCGGCCGAAGATAGCTCCACTGTTCCGGCAATCGCGCCTTGCTTGTATGTTAAGCGGGCTAAACTTAGCCTCCAAGCAAAAAGCATCCCTAAAACCCACACAAGCGCGAAATGAGCCACCATGAGAAAAGGAGCTGTGAAATCCTAGATCCCCAGAGGCCGCTGACCCAACTCTCGAACCCCAGCCCGCAAGAGCAAGATCCTTAACGCCTGAAATCGCGAACCCTGCACTCTTAAACCCCAGATAACCCCCTCCTGCGATCGGAAGGCACTTCGACTTCAAGGAGGTGCAGAGACATGGGCCCATGCCTTGGTAGATCCGAAGCTTTCAACAAGGCCCAGGTAAGGAATTGACGTGCTGTCGAGGCGTTGCAGGGTTCAGGAAGTAGGACTTGGCATGGCTTGGCGCGCTGTGCCCTTACGGCTTTTCAGGCTTTGTCAGCTTAGGCTGTGTAACAGTGTAGGCGCCTGACACTCCTCAGCATCTTCGCCATCGAAGCGCAAACCTTTTCTAGGAAGAGATACACGGCTTCGCACCCAAATGGCTCCTGGAAAAGAAGGACGTGGCCCCTACACAGACCCGACTTAGTCACTAAAGTCACACGACACCCCAAAGCGAGGCTCCAGGCCATCGCTATCTTGGCCCACTACGGCGGCTGGATGCCAAGATTGGCTGCTTGAGGGTGCCAGCTGATTGAAGTCAGCCCCAAACTTGCACTTATGCCCTGAACCCAGCCGCACACTTCTCCATTGTTTGGAAGGTGTTTCATGCAAAGCGTTGCAATGCCAATGCTCGAGTCTTTCAACAGATTCTGCTCGAAGCTGTTTCCGAACACATGCAACAGAGTGGATGCCCTTACTGGGGCGGACTTGCAAGTTCGTAGTTCTGCCACATCCACCAGCAGAATCACCGAGTATCCTCAGAGCCGCAATAAGCAGACAAAAGCAGTTTTGCTGCCCAAGCCAATTCGAAGGGAGCACGGCTCATGGTATCGGTGTTGGCCATCAAGTTGGCTCCGTCCCGCTGCCGACATGTTTTGCTGCCGACGCAGGTGACTTTTTGCCGGGAAGAGAGAGGTATACTCGATGGGTTCGGCGAAGAGAAGTATCAATCCCATAAACTATCGCGCAGGTGACTCGCGCAAAGAGGCAACGTAATTCATGAAGTGAGCAGCAGCACTGCAAGAACAGCAGCAATAACGGCAGTAATAGCAGCAGCAGCAGCGGCGGTGGCAGCAGCAGCGGCGGCGGCGTCAGCAGCGGCGGCAGCGGCGGCGGCGGCAGCGGCAGCAGCAGCAGCAGCAATAGCAGCAGCAATAGCAGCAGCAATAGCAGCAGCAATAGCAGCAGCAATAGCAGCAGCAATAGCAGCAGCAATAGCAGCAGCAATAGCAGCAGCAATAGTAGCAGCAGCAATAGCAGCAGCAATAGCAGCATAGCAGCAGCAATAGCAGCAGCAATAGCAGCAGCAATAGCAGCAGCAATAGCAGCAGCAATAGCAGCAGCAATAGCAGCAGCAATAGCAGCAGCAATAGCAGCAGCAATAGCAGCAGCAATAGTAGCAGCAGCAATAGCAGCAGCAGCAATAGCAGCAGCAATAGCAGCAGCAATAGCAGCAGCAATAGCAGCAGCAAAAGCAGCAGCAATAGCAGCAGCAATAGAAGCAGCAATAGCAGCAGCAATAGTAGCAGCAGCAATAGCAGCAGCAGCAATACCAGCAGCAATAGCAGCAGCAATACCAGCAGCAGCAATAGCAGCAGCAGCAATAGCAGCAGCGGTAGCAGCATTCACCGAAGGTTCAGTTCACAGACAATGCAGATGTAGTCACAGTTCAGCATGCTGCCGCTCATGTCTTTGTGAACGCTTGCCCTCCGATCTTGAGGCTTAGTTTCTGACGAAATGGACGCTGCGAGATGCATGCATGGTGTCCCATCATGATCCATCATGGTCTCAGTTGCGATTGTATAAGTTGTCTTTTCTAGGAGCCCGGCAGACCTGACGCAGCGGCTGTCACCCAGCTCTGCGCCAGAGGCCTGCCTGTGACGAGCTTCGTTTTGTTTGCACAGAGCTTAGGTTCTTATTCTCGCGTCTGCACTTTGGGTCCTACGTTGAGAGTAAAGAGAGTCAGATCACTTTGACGCAACGTCGCGCGTGTGTGCAGAAATTCATGCTGAAGATTTAGAACCCCGGCTCGGAATTCACGTGGCATGATTTAAATTTGGCTTGGGCACAAGAAGCTCGATTGTAAGTTTGAGCCCCACGATAGCTTGGAGAAACGAGACGATTCCAATGGGCCCGAACAGGCCCGAACACGATGGGCAACAGGAGATGGAAGCAACAAAGTCAAACATTTGCCGATGTAGACCCCAAAAACAATGCAAGGGCCCTTCCTGCGAAAGCACCTAGACCGGCACCTGCGCCAATTTTACCCTGTTTGGGACACCTCTTGACATTTGTAAGCCCTGAAATACGCTCGGCAAGCGACTATAGGTGACGTGAGTGCGACACGGACCCGGCAACCCCGACAAAGATTTGGTCATCGTTCGCGAGTAGCCCCGAACTTTATCAGCCTTCCCTGAGCAGGTTGCGGCCCCTGCAACGAGTGCCCCACAGTCGACGGAAGGGAGGACAATTTTCTGGGATTTCTTGGACGGAAAGAGGTTCAGGGCTTGGAGCTTTTTTCTGTTAACGGTTCAGGGATGTTCTTCAGATGAATACATTCCCCCACTTGTTAAGGTTATGCGGGTAGGTCCCGGGCGGGTTCTGTGTCTCCCTCATGTCCTGAATTTTCATGCTTCAAAAAGACTACAGGTAGAAGCTGCCGGTGCAAGATCCTGGGGTGGAATGGCTGTTCTTGGCAAAGTTCGAAGCTGTAGTTGTTCTTGGGGGGAGGCTGCGCGTCGCCTGCCTTCCATCATGGGGTGACTATGAACTCTCATCTGCCATAATATGGGTCTAGTGACTTAAGTGTTTAATGTTCGGTTGTCGCTTTACAGGATCAGGACCGAGGGTCCAAGCAAAGGCCAGAAAGCAGCTAGGCCTAGGGCCTGTATCGTCCAGGGGCTGTTTTTTCGCCTGGCAACTTGTACCTGTTAGCCACCATCGCCGGGCATTGTTCCTTGCGCAGGATGTGCCCCATCACAGGCCTGGAAGGCTCGCAGCCCATTCAACAAGAATCAAGAATGTCAAGCCTGAGCAGATGAAGAGTGTAGGGTATAAGGCTTGGTCAGCCCAGACTTTATGCTTCAAGCTCTAAACCCTGTCCGATCGCACGTCGCTCCCCGTCCCGTCGAGAGGCTGTGACTTGATATGCCACATGGACTGTATAAGCTACAAAAAAAGTAGCTCGGGAGGCACGTATGCTGAAGGCCCACCGACCCTCCCAAAGCATTGCATCTGAGCAAACCCCCCACGCTTTTGGCCATCGTGGAGTACGCCTTGCTTCTCACGCCGCACGCTCTAAACCTGAAGCAATTCCATAAAATACAGACCATCCAGGGTGAACATGCCGGAGCCCGGATGCGATTCCTTCCAGGCATTTGCCCTATGGCCAAGAAGGCAGCACGGAAGGAGGGCGAGAAACCACCAGAGCTGAAGGCGCAACGAAGTACCCAAAATCTAACCCTAAAACCCCCCAACTGTTGTTCTTTGGATTTGAATCCCCTTGGCAGTGTTTTTGGAGCTCATAGCTTAAGTTTCGGGAAGGTGGCTTTTGCATAGCCGTGGAACCAGTTCCAAGCCGCAAAATCTGCTGTCTCGTGTGGCTCTTGCTATGCTCTTGCTGCAGTTCAGGTGCTCATGTTCATCATGTGGGAGGCTCCGGTAACAAGCTGCGTGCACGGGCTGTCTTCAGCCTAGGATGATTGATGTGTTGATCTTGCTGCGGCAAAGTCGTGCTCCGTTGCTTGTTCGAAGGAGGGTGAATCCAAAGTCAGCGCCCCTGCCTCAGCGAGTAAACCTGACATCCGACGCCTTGAAGCATGATGCAGCACCGACGGTTAATTCGACCTAAGGTGGGCGTCTACCCTCATCACAGTGCTTCGGCTGGAACGAATACCGGCAACCGTTTGGATTTTGCGTGGTCAGGTGTACTTTGGTGTTGACAGTCTTGGTTTCCGAGCACTGCGAGATCACAAGCCCGTGCCATTGCATCAGCATGTTTCCGCTCACCCCCCAACTCTCGACTTAGCATATCAGCCTATCAGCCCTGAGCTCCTACACTCAAACCTGGAACGTCCGAACATCCTTAAACCAGGTCTAAGGATTTGAAGCCCAAGCCCAGCTCAATGACACCGCACTCATCCACACTCTGCAGGTAGCGACTGGGAGGCCCTGGAGCTTCCGGACACGGCCAGCAAGTCCGAGATTAAGGCAGGGGATTTTGCTTGGGCATTAGGGCTTCGCGAGGGCAGGGTAGAAGAATTTAAGGGATATCATGGGTTCGTGCTAGATAGTGGGTGGATTTGCGCAGGGTATAGGCTTCTGGTCAAGAGCTCTGAGCTGTACGAGTCCTGCGCCCTAAGTTCAGGCGAGCGCAGTAACCTTTGGCGGCCGATGTTTCCATGGCCAACCCCTTTTCGCTACGCATAACCTGCAGCCCATCCAGTGCAACACTTCGCCAAGGCGTTGAACCTTCGTTTGTGCTTTTCACGTGTGAGCCTGCAACTGAATAGAAAACGCAAGCCTTTGCCAAAGGCAGATGTGTCCAGATTCTGTACATTGCCCGGAACCACGACCGCAACACTTTGACTACAGTCAAATTCTGTGGAGATAACGCTGGCATACATTTCGGCTTTGTGTGTGGCCCTGCGTGGCGTAGCAAGGAGAGGTGTATGCGCATCACACCTCCACATCCGTAAGATGAAGGTTCGGGCTGGGGTTGGTTGACTGCTGGCTGAGGTTATGCCAGCTATGCCTTAGAGTTTCTTGGAGATGAGGGGTCGAAATCGGGCTTAGGTTAGAGGCCAATATTTCGAGGAGGCTAGACTGCTAGAGGCAGTGAGTCGACATCTCCCCTGAAGCGACACTCAAGCCATGGTGGCACAGGCGCAGTATCGGAAGCTGTCGGTCCGCTACCATCCCGACAAGTGCCACGAGGATGCCAGCTATCTGGGAGACGGGGAGGTTGCTTGAAGCTATTTGAAGCTTAAAGGCGACTGTGAGCGGATCTTCGAGTTTCAGTGTATGTTTGAGGCGCCATTTGAGGTTGAGTCTGTGCTTCTTGAGAATTGCAAAAGCGCCACAGCATGCAGAGCAACTCACACCACACCCACACTGAAGCCCGCAGAGCGCTCCGGGGCAAGTTGGCAAACCCCAACCCCTCGAGCGTCCCAGGAGGGGGCCAAGGAGCGCTTCGCCCGTATTGCCGAGGCCTACGAAGCACTCAAGGCCTTGATTTTGCTTCACAGGCTTTCGGGTGGGGGATTTGACCATTATGAGGGCACGTTTGGGTTTGGGCTTGGCTGGCTTAGAGAGTTTAACACCGACATCATCACCAACATTATCTCCTTCACAATCCCAAACTGAAAGTCCCGCTGCATCACCGACACCGGCTGGATGGGTGGAATCTGGGAATTTTTCCTTATCTCTCTATCTGTGTGTGTGTGTGTGTGTGTGCACGTTGAGGGTTTCGTAGTGATCCCAACGCCCTAAATCCTGAGCCCAACACACACGCACTCTGCCGTCCGTGTCGGTCCAGGAGACGGACGGTCAGCTGGCCTTTCCCTGGGACCAGTACCCCGAGCGCCAGCAGCTCATGCCAGGCTGATCGGTCGCCAGAGTTGGGTCATCTATTGTTGAACCAACTGTGGGCTCATGTGGGCTCTGTTGTGGACATTTCCAGGGATCATCTTAGGTGTGTGCGTGTGTGCAGGCTTGAGCGCATGTGGGCGTCAGGGAGCTGCAGCCGCTGCAAGAAGAACATGTCTTGAACCCAAGGCCTAAGGGGAAAACGAGCTCAGCTCTCAACGCCCCTCTCGTTGCAGGCAGTGAGCTCATCCAGACCTTGGGCTTCCTTGGGTTTGAGGCAACTTGCCTATTTGCGGATGGCAGCTTGACGTCTGCAACAACAAACTGCCGATGCACGACCCCGAGGATAAGCAACGGCTGAGAGCTAAAATTTAAACGAGGCGAGCTCAGGAACTTCTGCATTTTTCAGAAACTTCCCGAACATGTTGGTGGGATCAGCGCCGCTTGCCGTGTTGGACAAACCCCCGTGTGGGGCAGGCTCCAACCTCCCTAAACCCGAAACCCGTAAGATCCCGTAAGCCATAAACCTTCAGCTGGGAATGTGCCTGAACTTGCTGCTTTCTTCACGCTGCCGAGCCAGATTGAAAGTTGGGTTTAGCAAGTTTAGTAAGTCTAGCTTCCAATACGAAATGCCAGCCCTTGGAGACCTTTACTTTACCAGAGCCTCCACGGAGTACTTGTTCCTGGCTTCTGTTCCACCATGACTTGTCGCACCATTCGGCTGCTCGCAAGTTCATGGATCAAGGCTTGCTGTATGTTCTCGACACGAACATTGCGAACCCCAAGCTTTACACCCTTAACCCGAAATCCTTAAATTGCCCTAAACCTTGGGACAACTCAAGTGCTCTATGTTTGAGTCTGGCCGCCAACTCCCTCAGGCAGCTCAGACCGACCCGATCAAGGCCCAGTTCATGCAGTCCCTTGGTCCTAACACGCCCGAACCCCAAAATGCCGATTCAGAAAGGGCATAGAGCCAGGCGCACTGACACAGGAGTTTCAAGAGTTACAGGGTCCAGCAATCGAGTTGAAGTTGAGTCAAGGAATTCTTGCATTACGAGCGCCCAAGCATTGATGTCGCCCCACTTGCCCCAGTGGGGCAAGTGCGGCGAGTGGGGCCAGCGTGGCGCCAGTGGGGCAAGTGGGGCAAATGTGGGGCAAATGTGGGGCAAAAGTGGGGCAGAAGTGGGGCAGAAGTGGTGCAAGTGGGGTACAAGTGGAGCAAGTGGGGCGCCCGGGGCAAGTGGGCAAGTGGGGCATATCGTTTTCCGCTTCCAGACCAAACAAAGCAAGTGGGCAAAGCGGGGCCAGTGCCAGAATACAGTTAGAGGTTGCAGGCTTGCATGCGCACGGCTTGCATGCTTGGCATTTGCGGATCTCTGGTAGACTGGTCGTCATAGCCTGTTCAGAGGAGCATACGTTGTGAAAGCTTTTCATGGGCATGCACATAAGCACATCACAAGCGCATAAGCGCATGTTGCAGCGGCTTTTGCAACGCTGACTCGGGCATGGTTGAAGTGGCTTCGCTGAGGCAGGTGGTCAAGGAGGCTACAAATTGCCGGGTCCTCCTCTTTGAGAAGGAGACCAAGGAGGCAGAGCGGTCTGTGCAGGACAGCTTGGGCACCATTTCCGGGTTTGCATTTCCAAGTTTGGGGAAGGCCGGGAAGGTTTGACTACGAAATGAGGTCTTAGGATTTCTCAAAACTGATCGCTGCTACGACGACGACGACAGCGGTGGCGGTAGCGGTAGCGGTGGCCGTGGCGGTGGTGGTGGCGGTGGAGGAGGAGGAGGAGGAGGAGGAGGAGGAGGAGGAGGAGGAGGAGGAGGACGACGACGATCACGACGATCACGACGACGACCACGATCACGACCACGACCACGACCACGACCACGACCACGACCACGACCACGACCACGACCACGACCACGACCACGACCTACACGACCACGACGACGACGACGACGACGACGACGACGACGACGACGACGACGACGACGATCGCGACCGCGACCGCGACCGCGACTGCGACCGCCACCCCGACGACGACGACGACGACGACGACGACGACGACGACGACGACGATGCGACATCACGACATCGCGACATCACGACATCACGGTATCACGACATCGACGACGACCACGACGACAACCACGACGACGATCGCGACCGCGACTGCCACCACGACCGCCACAAACACTACCACGACCACGACCACGACGACCACGACCACGACGACGACCACTACCACGACCACTATTAATTAGCTTTCGTTGTTGCTGCGGTGGCACTGGCACTGATACTCGTAGGGCTCGCAAATTCGGGTCCCGCTCCCCTCTCCTCACAGGAGACCTGGGCGGACGCACTTTGTGTGGATGAGCAGAGTGGCGCCAATCACTTAGTGAAGGCCTTTGGGGTGAATTTGCTTCAATGATGTATAGGTTGGCACTGCCACCCCATACTCGCCTCTCCTTGCAAGACCATTTTATCAACCCTGATCGCCCTGTTCTCCACAGTTCGCTACTTCAAGCCTCACCATTGAAATCCGTCGATGATGAAGGGACGGCCGTGCCTCATTGAACAGGTCTACCGCCGCATCGTGACTGTTGCGGAATCTGTCCTGACAGCCGCCAAGGCAGACATGGAGGAAGTTGACGATTCTTGGCCACTTTTGCAAGCCCTTATCACTCAATCATCTAAATCCAGCGGGGTTGTCGATCACAGCCGGCCACGTCCAAAGCAGACAAGGGACTCAGGTACTATGGTGTAGGATGTGCGGTTCATTGGGAGCAGGTAGGGTTCATTTGTGTCGGGTGTGCTGCCAAGCCCTAATCCCCCAAAGCCACTTGTGCCCTCAAGCGCAAGACCTCTAAGTTCTTTAGCTGGAAACCAATAAACGCCGTGACCCACGAAGCTTGAAGCTCCGCCTCTTGAGCCCAAGAACCCAGGATTAGAGCCCTGGGTGAAGATGGGAGACAGGAAGCAGGCCGAGGTCAGCACAACGGTCGATGCGGCGGTTCGGAGGCCTGAGTCCAGGAGTGCAGAGTTCAGGTTTCATATTCTCCCCGGAAGGTCCTGCGTGCTCAGCAACTTCAGCCGACGACATGGAGGCTTCGGGACGCCACAGGAGGTCCAGGTGAGATGTACGCACACAGTCTTCAAAGACAGATACGTTGCCTGTCTCGATCGCCTATAGGATCTGAGGATGTAAGGTCTAGAGTCTAGGGCTTACGCATAAATCAAGGCGTTTGGATGCAATGGAGTGCTGCAGGCCTGAAGGCCAGCAAGTTACTCCAGTCGACCCTAAAGCTCATCCCACACCACAACTCCGTGTCCGTGGCACTCAAGTGAGTCCACATCTTCACCTCTGCAAGCGTCCGCATGTCTGCATTGGCTTGGAGAAAAAACATGCCTTGTTCCGTCGCTCGTGTGATTTCTTCAGCGAAGGTGTGCAAGTTGGGTTCTGGATTCGAACTTAAGACCCGGCGCGTGGGCTGTTGCTGTAAGGCGTCGGAGTTCGGAGTTTATTTAGGGTTACGGTTCAGGCTCGCAGCACCCCTCTCCAATCCTCGAAGCTTCCTACGGCCAAGTGTCCAACCCCAAGGCAAAAATACCTCTCTCAAATCGCCCTATCGAAAGCTTCGGAAACGAATCCGAGGATCGAGACTCTAAAGGGCACCACCGGCACAACAAAGAGTGTGCACGACTCGAAAACAGTGAGAGGCATCTCAGAAAATTCTACTCGGGAGCGGCTGCAGTATTGAACATGGTGCATGTGCGGCACGGTCATTGTTGGCATTCCGATTCAGGCCATCTCCAACGAATATTAACAAGTAGTGCATGTGTGTGAAATCTTCCGGTATGCTCGAGCTACAACGTTCTGGCTGTTCACAAAAAAACCGCCAAATTTGGGCTTGAACATGTTACTGTAAGCGCCATGCAGGCGAGTTTATCACAACATGGCGTGCAGCGGCGTTTTTTTAATCAACTTTCCTGGTGTGCCAGCAGTGTACACACCTTCTACAATTGTCGATGTTTGTCGAACCTCTGAAAAGCCCAATCGTCCTGTAGGATCCCTTTATGAGAATCCGTGCGGCTGAGGCGGCGCCACGCAGGCTCTGGCGGCAGATGCCGGGCCTGCAGTCCTGGGGTCACATTCAAAGAGTTTCAGGGCCTAGTAAAGGCCTTGAGAGGTACGGGGTTCACGGGGTTCAAAGATGAGCTGCGTGTTGTCGTCGTTCCCGACAAACTGCACACTGGGAGTCGGAGATCCCAGAGCCGATTTTCAGCCATTGATCGTGGAACTCCGCCTCGTAAATGATTGAGACTCTGGAGTAGATGCAAGGGCATCGCACGCTAAGCTCTCTCATGTCACCGTGCTCTTGGCGTCGGAGAATAGAGTGGGAGACACTCGTGCTGCTGCTTATACCTTTAACCCTGCGAAACTGCTTCCCAGGTTGGACTTGTTGAAACTTCGGCTCTGACACACACCAAACACCTTGGATTCCTTAGAGCCTTGAAAGCCACAAAACCATCTCAAGCCCCAACTCTTGCTGTCTGCCCTGTTTCCAGGGCCTACGTCTAGCTCTCCAGGGACTCCGGACACACCGTGCAAGTGCATCAGTACCTCGCGAGCTGTTGGGACGAAGGTTTGGGGACATCTTTTCTGACGCTTGCAGTGATTGGCTCTGAGACTCCCGAGCCCTGAATCCATGCTGCAAAGCGGTGTTATATGATTGTCCTAGCCGAAGCTCGGTGTCCGAAAGCTGCCATGCAGAAGACCAGGTACAGATCTCCGGCTGCGAAGTGCTGCGCTGCCTCGCGGAGCTCGCGGAGGTGCTGTTTGGGGTTGGCCTAGGGTTTAGGGTGTTGGGGGCTTGGGGTTCAGAGACACCGTTTTCTTGACAGGATGATTCAGACCAAAAAAGCATGTGTTCCGGTTTCAGGGTTTTTGGGCTGCTTAGGGTGGATTGCGAGTTGCGGCGAAAGTTGTGAACCCATGAATTCCAACGAGTTGAGCCAGGCCCCTTTGGAAGAGCTGTCGGAGGCGGGGAAGGGAAAGGTTTCGTGTTTGCACGCCGGGTTTTGGTGGCTCTTCCAGACTACCAAAACCATAACTCCCAGCTGCCACCATTTCTGACCAAAGCGAGCTGGCCAAGGATTCACACAGTCCGTTGCATCGGGATGGGTGGAGGGTGATGAAGGCTTTTCAGGGTGAGTGTTGAGATGTTGTGAGTCAACGATCGGGGCATCGGACTCAGCATCAACTTTTTTCCAACTGTCTCTAGTTGGCCAGTATGTGCAACTTACACAAAGGTGGAGGCATCTCAAGTAGTCCTGAAAGCATCTATACCCTGAAACCCTAAACCCTCAACAAGCCAGGCTGCGCAGCTCGCCAAGCGCGCGTTTCCTGAAGATGCGGGCGTTCACCGAGCTGCAGACGGACTGCTCAGCTGCGCGCTTAGAGGTAGGATTCAGGGTCCACGTTGGATTTGAGGCCTGTTCTGTCTGTCCTTGTGATTTGTGTGCGGTTCATTGAGGAAGTATCCACCAGTCCAATGGCAAATCGGAAATTTACAGATCAAGTGTGTATGTGTGACATGTGTGTACATGCGATTGTCATCCGACCCATGCCTGCGGACGGCTTCCATCATGAGGAAATCCAGCAGGGCTTAACGATGGTTGATCGAAGACCATGGGCGACCATCATGACATGATCGGAGACCATGGAGACCACGGACCCGAGCCGCGTGACACTCGCCCAGCACTTGTGCACCCGCGATCGGAGATTGTAATTATAGGAGACCACTGAAACCGGACCCATGTGCACGACGCCCTCCCGACCACTGTCGCTCATGCTCGGAGACTATGGGAGACCACACCAGGCCCCCTGTTGCTCATGATCAGACACCATGGAGACCACGGACCCGCAATAGAGGGGGAGGGGTAACCAAAAACATGGGTTGAAGAGGAAGAGGGATATCATGGGGGTGGGGGGGGAGGGTGGGGGGGTGGAAGCCTCTATTGTTGTTTTTTTTCCGACCGCGACGGGCACGCATCACAAACAAACAGGTCGCAAGATTGCAACACAGGAAAGCGAAGTGGAGACGTGTCACAAATGTTCGCAGCATGCGCTTGCGTATCCCAACACATGCCAGTACCAGAAATGACCTCTGTCTGTTTGGGCAGTTTTTCAACACTGTGGGCCAAGCAAAGAAGCCTGCCATGCAAACTGCAGTTTTTTGCGCATTGGTTGTATGCCGTAAACCCGAAGGACAGGTGGGGTGCATGTCCAACCCCTCCGCCGTCCTTTCCCTCGCTCTTCAGCCTCATCTTGTTCGCGGTTGCTCCCGACGGTGGCAGGATGCGGTACCTTCTGAATGATGATCATTGATGATCTACACAAAGTGTTTTGGGACATCCGAAGCATGAGCTGGAAAACCCCAAAGCAAAATCCCCTGCATCCACTCCCTCAGGTTTTGCGATCCCACGCTCCGCTTGAAGCCTCAGCTTGTCCGTGCTTGTGGCTTTCCAGGTTTGTGGGTTCTTGAGTTAAGGGTTCAAGAGTTGATTAGGTAGTTTGGCGTTTGCTTAGCATGTTCGGGGCCTTCCAACCCCGGGATTGTAGTATGTTGAGAATGCTTCTTGCAATAGTGGAAACCTTCGTTGTTTCATAAGTGTCCGAATCGTGCAAGGGTCAACTTATCGCTTGGGTAGCAAGACCGTTGCTTGATCTGTTATTTGCCTGCTTTGCGCTTCGTGTTCCGTTTCGTAATTGGCCCACTTCAGAGAACTTGCCCCAGCCGCATGTCCGAGCGTAAGCAAAGCGCAGGGGGCCGATCTATTGCCTTGCAGGGCTATCCCAGGCTTTGTCGTTCACATGCGGGGCTGTGGAGGGCTGACGTTTTGTTTTCTCTCACCTTCAACACAGGACCTGGAAAGTCTTGCCGCAGCCTGGGTTTGCTTTGCGATTATCTTGTTTCTGAGATCATCGTAGAAGGGCTGCGGGCGGCAGCATCCGGGACGGCCCGCATAAACGGCATGAGTCGGTATGACTCGGTATGACAGTATTCCTTCGACGTTGCCTGGCTCCAAGTGTGAACTAGTCCGCCGCAAAGCCTCGCTCTGAGCTCGCAGCTCTTGGAAGCTGGGATCTCTATTCGGTAATTTGGACACGTTGCAAGTGTTGGTTGCTGCAAGTAGTATCCGTGCTTCTTCCCCCATTTAGGTGAGCCCCTGGAACAATGAATGCTTTGGGAGTCTTCTCCTCTGCCGTGTTTCCATTATTCTCATCTCGTTTGCTTTCTTCTCGTTCCCTTTTTTTCTCTTCCCCCCTTCTTCATTCCCCTTGCAGAGCCTTTCTGTGGGTGGGAGGCAGGGAGGGTCTTTCCGTCACTTGGGGGCACGTTGCTATTCATGGGTGTGGCCGTGGATTGGGCCCTTAAAGGTGGTCAGGAGCTCATGATTCGGGTTCCGAACTGCGAACGAAGTGGCAGGGAATCACTCCAAACCCAAATATGTTAACAGCAAGTATCCACTTCACAATCCACTTATAAAAAACTAGTTGGCTGAATTTTCTTTTGCAGTGCCCCCTGTCGAGAACGGGGCGTTCCATTATTCTGGCTGGCTTCATTATTATTCCGCAGGTGTGACCCTGGAAAGGGGCCTCGCAATGTGTATATCAGAGGCAAATGATTCGTGCACCCATCTTGTAATGGTTTGCTGCTGCACCCTCAACCCTCCAAAAGCAACCACGGCACGTAGTTCGCGAAGTGAAACACTTTTTTTTCTGTCGCAATCCTCCTTCTGGGAACGGGGCTTTCCAGTATTTATTCTGGGGACTTCATTGTTCCACGGGCGTGGCCCCGGATTGGGGCCTCACAAGGGGTCGGTCAGCAGGTAGATCAGGGACAAATGCTTTGGTACCGATCTTGCAAGCGAAGAAATTAGAAATCCTGGTTTTGTGCTGCAGCCTCAAATCTTCCCAACAGACAGAGCCCACCCAGCGAATTGTTCATTGCTCACGCGGGTGTTAGCGGCCCTGGGTAAAACGCTAGTTTCGGCACTTCTTGGTGACTTCTTGCGGTTTTCTTGTTGGGGGGTGCGGGGGGGATAAGAACGTCATATTTACAGCGTTTTCGCTTCTTTGTACAACATACTGCACAAGGATGTGGAACGAGAAAATCTGTCACAAGCGCCCATGCCTTTTGCGACCAAAACCGTGCTTTCCGTGCTTGACGTCTCTGCGCAACCCCAAAGCCCCAAACTTGAACCACTGCAAGCCCGTTGCACCCTGAACGCTCCAGCCCCCCAAAAACATGCGAGACGCTGAACACACTGGCAGGCGTGGCACTTTTTGTCCATAAGACCACATTGCAGTTACCCCGTTCCACCCTGAACACTCACAAAACACAAAATCCGAAAACGTGCAGAAATCGCAAAAGCATATCCCCAAAATTCACACCGCGAAATGCTGAAAACACTGCCAGGCGTGGTACTTTTCAACAACAGACAACCTGACAGTCACTCCAAATCCTGAAAGATAAATGCCGCCAAGCAAACCCCTTTCAATGTGCGAACACTGCCCTGCGTGGGTTAGAACCACATTTCCTGGTGCAAACGGCCCAGGGCCGCTAACGCCCGCGTGACCTAGTTTTTGAATTTTTTATTGTAAGAGCTTGGACCTGAACAGACAAGCAAGCGCTGCACAGACTTTCGTAATGGAAGCACCACTTCCAGGCGGTATGGGCCCAGAATTGTTTTGCAATCTAGGTGGCCTATTGTGGCACTATGAATTAGATTTGAGACCCTTTGAATGCTTTGGAAAGCCCGCCCAACGTGTTCTTGGAAGCTCTCAATAGCGGCCAAGGAAGATGGAGGGCCTCAACAATGGTGACACCGCGTGGATGGCCATGTCCTGCGCGTTGGTTCTCTTCATGACGCCCGGGCTTGCCTTCTTTTATGGGGGGTTGGTCCGTGACAACAACATCGTGAACACAATGATGATGAGCATCATTTCCATGGGCCTGACGACTATCACTTGGTTGGTGTTCGGCTTCAGCTGGTCCTTCGATGAGTGGGGTGCAGGGAAGGGCTTCACGTACGTCGGATTCCGCAACCTTGACGCAGTGTGGTCCGGAACCACCATGCCAGGCAGTCTTGCTGCAGAAGTTCAAAGAACAGAAGCTCTTGTGAGATTCTGAATTTAGGCTCGAGTCATTCCTCACCATGCAGCCAGGCTTGACGTTCGCAATCTTCCAGATGACCTTTGCTCCTTGGCTCGTGCTGGGTGTTACTTGAAGGCTCTCGTACCATCCCCAACAACCCAGGCCATCATTGCAGCGGCGATTATCTCAGGCGCCGTGGTGGAGCGCATCCGCTTCTTGGACGGATCAGTTGATGCAACACAGAGTTCACAGGAGCATCTTTTCTTGCCATGCAGGGTTCTCGGCCTATGCCATCTTCATCGTTGTCTGGGTCCTGGCAGTGTACGTGCCGCTGTGCCACTGGATCTGGGGCGGCGGATGGATCGCCGAAATGGGCGCCAAGGACGTTTGCTGAAGGGGTGAGAGGCATGGGGCTGGATCTCGATGCTGTGTAGGCATAGGCTCGCCGTGCATCTTCGACATGCATGGCCAAGGACTTTGAATTCGACCATCTTCGGTCAGGATTGGGGCTGTTACCAAACATGTGGCCAAGGACTTTGCAGGCGGCACTGTGGTTCACATCAGCTCTGGTACCTCAGCCTTTGCGCTGGCTTCCCTGCTGGGAGAGCGAAAGCACAGAGCGGAGAGCTTCCCGTCGAACTTGCCTTTCGTAATCCTTGGCGGAGGCATCCTGTGGCTTGGATGGACAGGCTTCAATGGTGGGTCGGCATTTGCTGCCAACGGCGACTGTGCCTTGGCCATTGCTACGACCTACGTTGCCGCAGCATCAGCGATGGTAATGTGGATCACGGTGGAGCGCATCCTGGATGGAGCCCCCACATCTGTTGGCGCCATGTCGGGAGCAGTGGCGGGACTTGTGCCTTGTCCGCGGTGAGTTCATTTTGGCGCGCAGCGCTCTCTACAGGCTCTATGCCCTCTCAAGCCAAAACATATGTTAGTGGATATGCAGTGGATATGCATATTGCTCAGTATATGAGTCTGACTCAGAGGTGAACATCACCCCTTGTGCCGGCTTCGTGGAGCCCTTGGGTGCCATTGGCGTTCCTCGAAAGGAATTCAGGCGCTGAGGACAGAGCAGCAAGGGCAAGAAAGGGGTACAGAGAGAATACCCCTGACACCTGAGCTTGCCGAAGAAGGCGAATCATGGCGAATCATTGCGACAGAGAGAGAGAGAGAGAGAGAGGCAGAGATTAAAGGCATGGTGGTGACGAAGGTGGGGCCCCTGGGGTCATAAAGTGTCACTCGCGTGGAAAGAAGGGTAGGCGCTGGAGCTGAGCGGGGCCTTAGCCTACCTGGGTATTAAGGTCTAACGGGTGGCGGGGGAGGAAACGCGCCAAGCTCACAGACCCGCTCCCTTGCATCAGGGGGCTTGCCCCCACGCCCCCAAGAAAGAAAGAAAGAAGGAAAGAAAGAAGAGAAAGAAAGAACGAAAGAAAGAAAGAAAGAGAAAGAGAGAAAGAGAGAAAGAGAGAAAGAGAGAAAGAGAGAAAGAGAGAAAGACAGAGAGAGAGAGAGAGAGAGAGTGTGAGTGAGAGAGACAGAGGAGCGAGAGAGAGAGAGAGAGAGAGAGGGAGCCCGTACACCCGGCAGATGTCATAGCGCTACACGGGCGAGCAGAAGAAGCCCCCTCCAGAACCAGTCAAGCAACCAGGGTGGGGGATCTACAAGAAGCGAGGACGAGGCTGAGGCACGTACTGGACTTCATGGAGCAGCCGGCAGCGGGGGAAATCAGAGCAGCCATACAGGCCATCGACCGGTGGATTGCCGCATGGTGGGGAGAAGACGAGGCCATCCAAATGGTGGAAGACAGCCAAGAAGGCCGAGAGACCTCGGGGGAATCCAAGGAAAAGACGGAGGCGGAAACAGCACAGGACCAGACACAGGAAGAAGAACAAGGAGGTGGAACAGGAGAAGAAGAAGAGGAAGCGGGACAGCATGGCCGAGAGGGGTAGAAGATCGAAGTCAACCACCAGATGGAGGGAGACAGTCTGACATCCAACAACGAGACCTTCTGAGTCGGAAAGAAAAGAAGTGTACAGAACTTTCTGCACACATGAAGGCCTGATAGGGGGAGGGAAGCCCGTAAGTACCTTTGCGTAGTCAAGGTTCGGGGAGGTAAGGGGGATGAGAACCTCAGGCTCGGAATGTGTAATAGCCAGCAGTCAAGTGCTCGACATCAGGCTCGGGGATAAGGGGGCACTCAGAGTTTGTGAGCATGCAAGGGAGCGAGCCTTTCCGTCGGAGCAGCCAGTTTTCACCTCGACCTACTGGGGGAAGAAGATCCCAACAGGGGAACACAGAGCCCGAATGGAACGATCTTTAGTCAAGGAATACAGCTTGTGTGGGGGTTGTTTTCGGGATGGTATGGGAAACAGACAAAACGGGCGGAACAGTACCCCGGGGGAAGAGCTGCAGTTTCACAGTGACAGTGAACCTGGGCGCGCCTAGGCGCGAGGGTCTCTCGGGCCCCCCCATGCCCTGCAGAAGAAGAAGAAGAAGAAGAAGAGAGAGGGAGAGGGAGAGGGAGAGGGAGAGGGAGAGGGAGAGAAGGAAGGAAGAGCGGGAGAGCCAGAGAGCGAGAGCCGATGAGTCTGCCCCCCAACATGGCTACACGTTGAAACCAAATCTTTCGAATCTCATCTGCATACTTCTACGAAGGGTGTAGCCGCCGGGGACCGAAGTCAAAAATGCCATGGCGTGCCACACAATGGCACAGAGGGTGAAGCAGCCACATGCGCGAGTGAATCCGGCCCTTGTGATCCCGGACCGGTATCCTCACTGGTGCACAGCGGGGCAATTGACATGAAACAGCGTTTATTTATCCATATTTGGGATCTTCCGGCATGTCGTGTCTCATCTCACCCAACTGCCGTCACAAAGTGCGCTTCGGTGCGGTTGTGTCGGGGCTTGTAGGAGAGAGAGAGAGAGAGAGAGAGAGAGAGAGAGAGAGAGAGAGAGAGAGAGAGAGAGAGAGAGAGAGAGAGAGAGAGAGAGAGAGAGAGAGAGAGAGAGAGAGACGGAGAGAGAGAGAGAGAGAGAGAGAGAGAGAGAGAGAGAGAGAGAGAGAGAGAGAGAGAGAGAGAGAGAGAGAGAGAGAGAGAGAGAGAGAGAGAGAGAGAGGGGCCAGTATGAAGGAGGGGAGAGGCACAGCGAGGAGAAGCGGCAGCAAGGAGGAGGTCGAAGCAGAGAAGAAGGTTGGGATGGGGGCAGAGAACCAGAAGATCACGAAGCGGGGGCGCGCCTAGCCGCAGAAGGGTAGCACGCAGTGGGGGAACACCCAGTCGCAGACGGACGGGGGGCCTACCAGCAGGACAAGAACTCCTGAACCTGCCTGAAGAGCATACATATCGAACTGAAGGGGGTGTAGGTGTACATCTTTTGTGTAAGCATGCCCGTGCACACCAAAGCCCTTGCGACACAGTTGTCTCACCCTTGCAGTGGTCAGGGGAGAACCCAGGGATATCTCTTGTGGGGGAGGGGAGGACTTCGGGAGGTTTGCCGGTTTCGGGGGTGTTGGGGCAGAGGTTGTGCTTTGTTGGGGGTGAAACTAGGCCAGTGTTAGTGCCTCCTAACGGGGACAGAACGCTAGGTAACTGACCACCAAGGGTTTCACGCTAGGTCGGGGGCCAGGAAGCACTGCCGATGGGGGGGATGGGGGGGGGCCAGGGAGCACATGTATGGGGGGAAGCCAGGAAGTCGGCAGTGTGCACCCGGGCACCAGACAACACCAGCAACCACCCCGAAAGCAGGGGCGGGCAAAGATGCCCGGGGCGCCGACCCCATGCCCCAAGAAAGAAAGAAAGAAAGAAAGAGAGAGAGAGAGAGAGAGAGAGAGAGAGAGAGAGAGAGAGAGAGAGAGAGAGAGAGAGAGAGAGGGACAGAGAGGCCGCGCGAGGAGTCTCGCCCGCAAGCCCGCGAAGAAAAACAGGAAAAGGAAGATGAAGAGGAAGAAGAAGAAGAAGATTACTTCGAACATCCCCACCTTCTCTTGGTAGAGATACTCTGGGGTTGGGCACTCCAGGGAAAGACTGGGCCCGACTCTGGGGCTGGGCATTGGGCACTGGAGACTCTGGGGTTGCTGGGGTCGGGCACTCCAGGGAGATTCTGGGGTTGGGCACTCCAGGGAGACTTTGGGCCCGACTCTGAGGCTGGGCACTCCGGGAACATTCTGGGTTGGGCACTCCAGCGAGACTCTGGGGTTGGGCACTCCTTCCTGTCGGGCAATCCAGGGAGACTCTAGGGTTTGGCACTCCAGGAAAACTCTGGGGTTGGGGAATTTCGGAGACACTCTGAAATTGGGCTCCAAGAACACTCTAGAGTTGGGCACTCCAGGACACTTTGGGGAGAGTTCCGGGCGAGGAGAAGAGTTCCGGGCAAGGAAAAGTTGAGTTTAAAATCTAACAACCCCACACCGAGGGTGGGGAAGAAGAAGAAGAGAGGAGGAGGAGGAGGAGGAGGAGGAGGAGGAGGAGGAGGAGGAGGAGGAGGAGGAGGAGGAGGAGGAGGAGGAGGAGGAGGAGGAGGAGGAGGAGGACAACGAGGAAGGCGAGCCCCTTGAAAGAGCGGGAGCAGCATGAGGAGAGAGAGAGAGAGAGAGACACAAAAATGTCTCAGATACATAGTGGTACTCCCCGTGGATCCACCGTTTTCCGGCTTTTTTTTCTCTCTGCTCCGGTGCGGAGGTCAGCAGGCCGATTGACGAATCAAAGTGGATACCCAAGAAATCCCAAGATCAACTGTACCGTCCGATTCAAACAGAAGATCTCCTTGCAATAGCATGACCTTGGAGGCAAATAGGGGAAGAAGACAGTGAGGAAGTCAGAACGTGCCTTAGGTTGGTGCAATTGGTGCTCTCTGCTGTATCTTCGCAGCTCGTGGCTTGAAGAAGCTGAACCTTGTGGATGACTCGCTGGACTGCTTCAGCCTCCACGGTGTCGGAGGCTTTGCGGGCGCCATCCTTGGTGGCTTCTTTGATACCGGGGATGGCTTGATCTATGGCAGCGATGGAATGCTTCTCGTGAAGAACCTTGCCGGTGCCGCCTTCGGCGTGATCTACTCCGCAGCCGTCACGGCGGTGATCTTCTTCCTCATGCGCCTCGTGATGCGTATGAGGGTCAGCGAGGAGCAGGAGCTGGAAGGCACCGAGGGGTTGTTTCCGAAGGCTCAGAATTCCCACCAGCCCTTGAACCCCTAATCCTCACGGCACTTCTACATTCATCACATCCGAAAACAGACCGTCAACGGTCCAACGGTTCTCGCCCAATTCTTTCTTCCTCTTTGAGATTTTGCTGCATGGCAAGGTGTGGATCTTCATTGCCACTCCGAGGCCACGCGGGGGAGCTCTGAAGCTCACAGGGGCATCCCGCTCGTATAATCTACTGAAAGCTCTCAAGCCTGAACGAGGCGTTAAATTAATTAAGCGTAGATGCCCCAAACCTTTACAGGAACACGAATCAACCCGAAGGTCGCGTATGGCAAGAACGAGAACTCGGGCAAGCCCAATGCCTTCGGCGAGCACTCTCAGCGCTTCAAGCCCGAGGAGGTCCCCGCAGGCTCCGCCCCGGCCCCGACCCTTCTGACCAGCACAGCGCAGACCAGCATGGCGGAGGGCGGCCAAAAGGCCACAGAGGTCTGAGGCATTCTCAGGGTCTTTCAGTCTTTCCATGGTCTTTCGACCCTCTATAGGGGTTGAGGGTTCATGGTCGTTTATGTGCAATCGAATTTGAGGTTTACCTCACTGTGTTATGCAGCGGGTATGGAGTACCTGCTGCCAAAAGCACCGGCGGACTTTCGGACGCAGGGCTTTGCATCGCTGTCCCTTCCCCGGAAGCTCAGCATTTTATACTCCGGGCTGCTGCACACGACGGCTGCCTGTAACCCTGCAGCGACGACTGCGGCGGCTTGGTGATTGAGATACCATCAAGCGGCCGGTACAATTTCAATCGTGACGCAGCAGGTACCAGCGTCATGCAAGTCAAATCGAAGAACGCATTAGTTGCAGCGTGCTGTTGGCCTCGTTCCGGATCGATGATGTACTCTTCCGGGTGCAACTGCCCGTACAGGGACCATATGATTGCGGAAGTGAAGCTCTGTTCCTGTAGCTTTGGAGAGATGCATCCACCTGTCTCTCGATCGATCCCTGTACCAATCTGTTTGTTTGGTATGCCTTTTACCTTCTGTAGCATCTCAATCTCTGCATGGGATGCAACAGAGCCTCCGCCACGAAGAGCTCCTGAGACTTGCCCAGGCTGCAGCCATCGGGGCTCTGATGGACTCGGCCGCTGCAGACGAGACGGCTTGTTGCTGAGACTTGATGCGGACCACGGGTGTTGGAGGTTTTGGGTTGGGAGCTGCCATACTCGCTCCGAGCCTATACAAGCCAAGTTACGGGCCTGGGGCGACCTAAAACCCTGAAAGCCTGGAAATCTTCAGAATAGCAGTGGCTAGGCCCTTTGCAATCCAGCAATACTTGAAGCTTCGTTTCTACCGCCTGCGATGGTCCCACCTTCCAAGCCCTAAACTAGACCTTCCGGGTTCCCCTTCCGTTTGCCCGTGTTAAGTTAATCTCTGAGTAAAAAACCCACACACATCCGAAATCCCTTTCTGCGACCTGAACTGTGCACAAAGGGCTTGCAGAATCTTGCACAGGCGTATTCAGGGTGATGGCTTTTCATGCCTTGCTCGCAAAGGGTGCCCCTAGGTGCCCCCAATCGCGCGTCGAGGTCCCGTCTGCGCATGGTGCGGGAATCAGGCTCCAAGGTCCCGTTTGTTCTTCAGGCTTTCGCGTCGCTCCGTGTCGCGAAAGCGTGGTAAGCGCGTACTTGTACCTTCCTGCATCTTGAGTTGTTAGACGGGTTCGCTTCGTGCGTCACGTGCGTCCAGTTTTTTGGGATTTGCATGTCACGGTGTGGCGAGTCGCGCTCTCGCCTCGGTCTCGTGCGCACTCACCTTGTCACGTGCTCTCGCAGCAGCTGTTTAGATTTGTTGGTGGCTTTTGATGTTTTTCATTTATGGCACCCGTCCTCGCTCCTTCATCGCCTTCCAACCTTGTCGAAAGTGCTCTCCCGGCTCGGTCCCTCTCGTGAAGGGTGCGACTTGTAGCATTTGTCGTTTGTGCACTCGAGAACATCCGGAGGCCCAATGTTTCCCAAAGCCGACTCTTGTGTTGATCAAACGTATGATGGCTGACTGTTCTTGTAACGTATTCGGACGTCCGGAGTTGCGGTGGCAGCTTCAGGGTCCGCGTGCGCCCTCCTTCTGCACTCGCCTCGCGCACACTCAGGGTATATCGTATGACTCCGACGTCTCTCACTATTTGGGGGGGGGGGGGTCTACGCTGGCATAGTCATAATTTTCTGGGTCTTGTGGGCGTCTACACAGAGCTACGCAGAGGGCCTCGGTCCTGAGAGTTAGGGTTTAGGGCCCTGGGGGGGGGGGGGCTCTACAAACGTTGGAGCTGAGGCTCAGCGCAATGCCATCTGCAGAGCCGCCGGCACATTTGCCCGTAGGACTTGCCTCGAGCTGTGCGCTGGCTCAGGAAGTCTTCAGGGTTTAAGTGGGACCCGCTGCATAGCTGTTCTAGGCGCTCTGCGTTCACCACAGTGGTTGTCAGGTCAAGTCCAAACAAGGCCCAAACACTAGCCGCCAAAAAAGGCAATGCAAATTGCTGCAAGGGCTAAACATCCGCGCACCCTCTACCCGAAGCATCAACCATGTTCCCTAAAGTCCCGACAGCTCCGAATCTTCCCCAAGGGTTGTTGAGTGGGCTTAGGTAGCTCACCGCATCCAAGATCAAAGGGAAAGCAAAGGGAAGCCAGGGTCCGCGCATTCGCTACGCCCATCTATGCCCAGCACGGCAGGCCTGGGCCACTTAGCCGGCTACGGTGGGGTGGCGTGGTGCCGGGAACCCGGAAGGAGGCTGAGAGCTGTTGGCTGGTTTGCGACTTGCAGACGGACTTCAAGTCTGAGGATCCATTCGCGTGGATTTCAAGCCATGTTGTCATGTTTGTGTACGGAGCCATCGAGCTTGTGATCGGAAAAACCGCGTGAACGGCGTGAACCACTCGACACCTCAGGCTAGACAGGTGGCTTGAAGATGCTTGAAGCTGAAGCTCGGTAATGGAAGCGACTTATGCGACCCAATGTGACCTGACGTGACCTATGCCTTCTGTTCGAACCTGTGGTCTCACGGATGCGATGGCCGAAGTGTCTTTTTCGGACCATGTTGTGGCGAGGTCACATGCAGACTGGCATTTTGGACCTGCTTCTAGACATAGATATTTAGTGCTCGCAACAAGCAATAGCTCATAGCATTGTGTCTTCTAGCGGCCACTTATTGGAGTGCAAAGTTGGAGCAGCACGTTTCGCCTCCACTGCAAAGTCACTCAGTCGAGCCGTGTCCACCCCCTCACTGCAAACCTTCAGAAACACAGGTCTATGTCTCGCAGGTAGAGCGGGGGTATTGGGTTAGAGTGCTAGAGAAAGGATCTTTTTGTGTAGGGGGTTGGAAGTTTACTCACTCTTTTCAAGCCCCAAAAGACCAAGTGACTGAATGCCACTGGATGCCCATCCCCAGCGTTCCTTTTCCGAGGCGGGGCCTCGCGTGTCGCGTTGAACCGCATACTCCGTGCTATGGCACAGTTCAAAGGCTGCCCCCTGCTCGTTGGTGTGGTGAGGCGATCAAATCGCACGAATGATCTACTACCTGCTCCCAATTCCCCGATGTTGCCCAGAAGAGCCCAACCCCTCCCAGACCCAAAGAATCAGGGGTTAGAGGCATGGGGTTAGGCTCCGGCAGGAAGGGCTGCACGTAAGTGGGGACTGATCCAATCTTGGGCTCTGCCGGGTTCAAAAACCTCGTCCTGTGCAGGCTCTGCCGTGCTCGTGGCCTCAGGGTTATGGGCAGCCCTCTGAGTTCCTGAGTTCTTGACAGCAGTCAGTGGCACCCAGCAGCCTTCCTCGAAACGCCAAACGCATTCCAAACGAACTGCAGGCGCTGGGCCGCTTCGCGGAGCGCGTGGATGCTCCGCGAGGGGGACTCCAGGAGCCGCGGGTGTTGGCGGAGGGTTCGCGAAGTTTAGCGAAGTTTAGCGAAGTTTGGAGAAGTTTAGGAGGCTTGGAGAACTTTAGGGTTCGGGTTATTTGGTGTACTTCCCAGTTTGTAAATGAAAAATGGAAGATTTTTGATGCACATTGGCCGATGACCCCGTTGCCACACCTCCCCCCTAATCACGCCCCCCCCCCCCCCCCCGAGCTACCACGAAGGGAGCAGCGTCAGTCAGAAAGCGCCGGCGTCAGTACGTAAAGCGTTTGAGCCCTCACCCCTACCAGCCACGAAGGGGTCGAACAAAATCCGAAGGCATCACGATACCAATCGTAGCCTTCAAAGCGTACAGCGTGCAAGGGCCATGAGGAACTGCATGCCACCGCGCACGCGAGCGGCACGAGGGGTTAGAGAGGGCATTGCCATTTTCCAAGTGCTTGTCTCCCGGATCGAGGAAGAAACAAGCAAAGTCGAGCAACCTGTCGTGGAAGCCTGCCAGTGCTTGCTATCAACGCCCGGCGGCCAATTGCAACCTCCACGTTCAAGCAGCTCTCCTTCATCACGCAAAGCATCCGCACACCGAGCTGCTGAAACTCAAGCACGGCCGTGCCACAGTTTAGCTCATCATCAAACGGGGTGAACAGAACCCCGAGCAGAAGCTCATGTAGATTGTCGTCTGCGATCCTGCATCTGCAGCGCCGATGGGAGGGGCTCGCAAACTCCATGATGCACCTGCTGCTGGGGTTCAGCCTCTGCTACCTGCCTGTTCTAGGTTTGCAGCGGGCAATGTTCACGTCGAGCCTCACTTGCAGTAGTTTCCGTGACTTCCTTAACGATACTGCACCCGAAAGTCTCTGAAACATGCTAACGCAAGACGAACTCACGCACGGCTCCTCAGCTGCCACTTTTGTGCCATCCTTGTGCCTTATGTGGCATCTTGTCCACGCCATGCTAGCCGGCAGACGTGCGGGGCACTAGGGTTCCAGGCACCGCTAACTAACCCTTCCGTGCATTGAGCGGACCTCTATCTTTGCAGCATGACAAACACTCTAACACCCACCCCCCCCAACCCCTCCCACCCTCCCACCCCCCCCAACCCCCCCACCCCCCCCCCCCCCCCCCCCCCCCCCCCCCCCCCCCCCCCCCCCCCCCCCCCCCTAGACTGCTCCTTGACTGGCGCGAGAACACATTCCTTTCACTTGAGGAGCAGGAGAGGTGTTTTGAGATGTCACCTCACTACACAAGTATCGGCGCCAAACGGAGTCAAAGTGACTGCAGGCAGGCATGACATTTTCAGATTTATTTCTCGAATCAATGAGAACTATGACATTAAATCCTGGTTTTGCTGGCAGGCTTGGCATTGGCCCTGTTAGAGCGACTTGGTTAGAAAACGTGCGGACTGCAGGCTCGCAGGCGCTGGGCTTGTGGTATTTAAATGACCACATGCCTGAGAAAGTCACACAGTAGCATTTGGTAACTCCTCCTCCAATTCAGAGTTGTGTAGAGGCCTGGAGGACTTTGTGTTCGAGAGGTTCGTAAATGTGAAAAGGCTTCTTGCGGTGAGCTCATCCCAAACTTCCGGCTGAAATAAG